GGGGTCGGAGGCAGCCGAGCTCCTGGTGGGAGCAGAGCAGGGACTGGGTGACCTGGCCCCGGCTTGTCGTGGAGAACAGCGGGGGCGGCATGGTGGGTGCAGGGGCACCACAGGCACAGGAACACTGCGAGAATGGGCTAACTGGGGGTGCAGGAGTACTGCAAGCACAGGGGCATTGTGCTGTGGGAACAGTGCAGTTGCGGGTTCATGGCAAGTGTGGGAACATGGCAGGAGCGTTGCAGGCATGGGAACATCACAAGCGTGGGAGCATCGTAGGTGCAAGGGCGCTGTGGGTGCAGGAGCAGCAGGACTGTGCCCGGGTGCGAGCGCGGGTGGTGATGAGACCCAGGGGAGCCGGGTCAATGGGACACAGTGCGGAGCAGGAGCAGTGCGGGGCCCCATCGCAGGGACCTCAGTGTCCCCTGGGTGCACAGGAGCGGATCTCTCAGTGGCACGACCAGAGCAGCCGCTACTCCACGGAGCTGCGGGACTTCAAGAACCAGGTGCTGGGGATGCTGGAGGCGGCAGAAAAGGAGCGGGAGGCACTGCGGGCAGAGGCGGAGAGCGCAGCTGTGCGCGTGGACCGCCTGGAGCGTGAGGTGGACTACCTGGAGACCCAGAACCCCGCGCCACCCTGTGTGGAGGTGGACGAGACCCTGCTGGAGAAGCAGGTGGCCACGGCCAAGCAGCAGAAAAACCAGAAGTACGCGAAGCTGACAGGTGAGCGGCCACGCGGCACCGGCGCAGGGTGGGACATGGGACTCCCTGACAGGCGGGTGGCAATGACACCCGGGCAGAGGCGTTTTGGGGTGTCTCCAACCCAAACCCCACATTCTCATGAACATCGGAGCCCCAGGCAGCATCTCCTGCCCCTTGCCCACACACACTTTGCATGAGCGTGCACAGCCAGGACGCGCAGGGCCGCGGGGCTGCCACCTTCCCCATGCTCACAGCTGCCCGTGCACACAGATTGCAGTGACACCATCGCCAGCGTGCGGTCCATGAAGATCCTGAAGCGCTTCGGCAGCGCCGCGGGGCTCTGGAGCAAGGACATGGCGGGCAGCTCAGAGAAGATCTACGTCTTCGACGGCACCGCCAATGACACCATGTACGTCTTCCCGCGCATGCGGGAGTTCACCCTCTTCTCAGCCACACGCAAGGCCGCCCGCATCAAACTGCCCTACCCCTGGGTGGGCACCGGGCACTTGGTCTACGGCGGGCACCTCTACTACATCCGCCAGCAGGGCCCCTTCCAGGTGATCAAGTTCAACCTGGCCAACAAGACGGTGGTGGACAGCTCAGTGTTCCCGGCCGAGGAGCAGGTGCCCGTCTTTGGGCTCTCCCCTTCCACCTACATCGAGGTGGCAGCAGATGAGGAGGGGCTCTGGGCCATCTATGCCACCAAGGAGAACGAGAAGAACATCTGCCTGGCCAAGCTGGACCCCGACTCGCTGGACATCGAGCAGATGTGGGACACGCCATGCCCGCGGGAGAACGCCGAGGGGGCCTTTGTGGTGTGTGGGGCGCTGCACGTGGTTTACAACACACGGCTGCCCAGCCGCTCGCGCGTCCAGTGCGTCTTCGACGTCAGCGGCACCCTGGCTGCCGAGGACGCCGCCCTCGTCTACTTCCCCAAGCGCTACGGCTCCCACTCGGGCATGAAGTACCACCCGCACGAGCGGCAGCTCTACGCCTGGGATGATGGCTACCAGATCATATACCGCATGGAGATGAAGAAGAAGACAGAGGTCTGAGCAGCACCGTGGCAGCAGTGCAGACAGAGCGCCGAGTGGGAACCGCCGGGGCTGCCACAATAAAGGATTTCTGCCTGACGTGGCCTGGTCCCCTCTCCTGCCTGCACCTCAGCGGGTCTGTGATGCGGCTGGGCTGGATCAGGACCGGGGATTTGGGGTTGGGGCCGGTCTGGGATGGGGCAGGATCAGGGCTTGGGTCTGGAGCCATGGGCATCTCCCCCTGCTCCTGCTTGGGGCTGACATATTTTGCATTTTGCATCTGCAAAACTGCAAAGCAAAAACCAAAACCACTTAAGCAGGATCATGGCACAGTGCAAGGCTGCCCATCACCCTGGAGCTCTGGGGCCACCTCCAGACAGAGCTGGGATCCCTGGAAGAGGGACTGCACATCTGGAGCTGGGACCAGGCACAGCATCTTCCCACTACAGATGTCCCAGAATCTGGGGCACACCACTGTGGGAATGATGATTATTGCAGAAAATTGATGCCATTTCCACAGAGGCAGGGTCAAAAGAAACAAACCACCCGTTCTTCCAGCTCTACTGAAACAGGTGAGCGTGGTGCCAGCTCGCTGGCTGTCCACTGAACCTGGTTCCTTACTACTCCTCCTCTGTCCCTCCTCACAGTAGAATTCCTCTTCCCCTCTTCCCATTTCTCAGTGGGGAGTGATGTGCAAGAGCCAGCAGGAGATGAGCGGCAAGCTGCTTGCTTTGTGCTGCTGAACAAACCACAAATGCTCTGTACATGCGACGCCCGGGTCGCGCTTCTGCATTTCATTCCCATGCTGCGGGTCGCCTTCGCTCCCGCTGTTCCCAAGGCAACGGGACCCGTGCCGGGATGCGCCGGCTCGGCCTACAGACTTCCCCAGCCCTCACGATCCGCATTTTCCATTGCCATCTCTCCTAGTCTCTTGAAACATGCATGTGGTAAATGCCACATTTAACTACAGATGACATGGAGTACAAGGTTTATATTTGCGTGATTAACGCACTGTTTTAAAATATAGCTGTAGAACTGTAAAAGGTACAAAACACCACTGGGGAAAGCGCAGGGAAGAAACCCATTTCTGGGGCTCTGGTGGCCCCAGGCAGCATTCCCGGCAGCACTGGCTCCCTGTGGCCTCCCCTCTCAGCCCTGAGCCTGGAGCCCATTGACCTTGGCCCAAAAGCAGCTGCCATCTTCTTTGCTTTGCAAAACGAAGCCTGGATGAGCCCAGCAGTGTGAGGACACCTGGAACTGCTGGGGTAAAGCAGGAGAGAGAGGAGCAGAGAGCAACGTGGAGCCTGGGGAAGGGGCTGCTGCACTGCTCCTTGTGCCGCTGGTCTCCTAGGGAGCAGGGGCAGCCAAGGGGAACGGAGCGCGGACCAAGCATGGGGTGTGCACGGGGTGGGTGTTCAGTTACTGACCACACAAGAAACACACACTAACAGGAGGGTTTGGAAGGAGTATGGGCACAAACACGTGCACCCCCGGCACTGGCAGCCCGGTGATGACGCTTGCCTTCTCCCAGGTTTCCCTGGTATCCTTGCTGGCACCTCCAGGCTCTTGCCACATCCCTGGAGGGCCACCATGCCCATTGTGCTCCTCCTGTCTTGACCCTTCTCTTGGGATGTTGCTGGCCACGATGGGATGGACCTGGTGCCAGGCATCCTCCCTCCCAGCAACTGGGCCTGAGAAACCTGGCTCTTCTGGAGCCGCTCGCAGCTCCAGAAAATTGTGGAAGTTTTTCTGTATCAGCATCAGCTGTGCTCGTCTTCCCCAGCACTGCAGCCCTGCCAACACAGCAGGTTGCAGGATGGAGGGAGACAGGAGCGTTGCTCATGCAGGGGCACAGGAACATTGTCGCTGATGCTCCTGGGCAGAGGGGCACCCGGGGCTCGGGGACTCGGGGGACACAGCAGGGACACTGCTCCTGTGCACTGCCCGGACCGGGGCTGCTGGCAGCCAGGCACGTCCGCACCTCCCCAGCTGTTCTGGGCACAGAAAAAAACGTTACAGACTATTTGACAGCCTGAGCTCCCCGTCCCAGCATGCCCGCCGCGCCAGGAAGCGGAGCCGCAGGGTGGGAGCCGGGAGCGGGGCAGGGCACGAGGGGGCCGCGCCGCGGGGCCGGGGGCCGCGCAGTGTCCAGCAGCGACGCCGCGGCCGGCAGCGACCCTGGCTGCAATGCGGGTCCCGCAGCGACCCCGGTAGCGACGCGATGTCCGTCGGGTGCAGCGGGAGCGGAGGCGGCCCCGGTCCCGGCTCCGCTCACGGCGTAGGCGGTGCCTTGGGAGAGGGGCAGGAGCCCTGGCTGTCGGTGCTCGCGGCCCGGCCACGCCACTGCAGGGGAGAAAAACACATATATTCATGCATTAGATTGCAGAAAGGGGCTTGTCTGAATGTCTCTGCCCAGGTTTTGTGCAGGTTTTTTTTTTTCCTTTTTTTTTTCCTTTTTTTTTTCTTTTTTTTTTTTAATTTTTATTTTGCAGAACTCCTGACCTGGCACTATGAGGGGGTAGAGGGGAAATGACTCATGTGACTTTTTCCAGAGGCTTGGGGGCTCAGCTGAGGTTTCAGTGCTTGCTTTGGAATGTGAGTCATCCATACGCCTGCCTCCAGTGTTCCTGTGCGTATTCCTGCATGGGTCAGGGCTTACAGCCCTCAGAGGCCCCATGCAGGTGGGTTGCGGGTTCCGGATTTCCATTATTTGAGGATGTTGTGTCTTGCCCTGGCTTATGTCTCCCCCAGGGCTGTTCCCTGTATCGTATCAAACCCTCAAGGCACAAGTGCTGTTTTATCACCATGCAAAGCATCAACGATGCTCTTCCCTGCAGAACTGATGGCTTAAATCCATCAAAAAGCAAGTAACTGCATAGAAGTGTGAAGAAATTGGGAAAGAAAATGCTAGAGATGGTCAAAATGTCACCCAGGCCTGCAGGGCCTGTTTCATCACCCATGGCTGCCTCCAACGAGGCTCTTTCCTGGGAGACACATGGAGCAATTACAGCCATCCTATTTATGCATCCTCAAAGGCTCAGGGATGAGTCAACAGAAAAATCTTTTAGGATAACGAAACTAAATCTTGAAATACATGATTAGTCTGGATCATCTTTTCTGCAATCAGAAAAAAAAAAAAAGAGGAAAAAGAAGAGAAAAAGAAAATACAAGAGAAGCAGATGTGCAGAAGAGGCTCCCTCCCCTCCCTCAGCCCTGCAGGCTGCATGGAGCTGCTCGGGGCACTGAGGCACTTGGGCGCCAGGGCACTCAGCAGGAGGGCAGTGCCCCACTCACCTCCTTGAGCGATTTCTTCCCCTCGGCCAGCGGGTGCCAGTGGGCGATGGGCTTGCGTGGATAGGCCAGCATCTCGTTCCAGTGGTCCCGGCCCAGCCCCTCAGCAGCCGTCCCAGCACGGCAAACCCCGATGACCTCGTTGTGGCCCACGCTGCGGGCGGGAGTGAAAAGTGCCCTAAGCTCCAGTGCCACAAGCAGCGCCTGGCAGGGACATCTGGTGATCCCGCCACCTCGCACTGCGCAGCGGGGCAGCGAGATGGGGCGAGTGGCTCCCAGCAGGAGCCCTCCCACCTACCGGTCATAGTCCATAACAGATATGAGCAGGCTGACTTGATCCATGTTTTCCGGGGGGATGTCAAAGATGATGGCCTCGTTGTAGGTGGGGTTCAGTGTGTTCTTCTTTATGGTGGTCTTCTTCTTCTTCAGCCTTCGCCCATCGCACAGCAGAGACACCTTGACGTATGGATCTGCAGGGCAGACAGGACAGGCCCTATGGGGATCGCTCTGCGCCCCTTTTGAGGGTTTGTCCATGGGCTCTTGCGTGGGGGACTGCAGGCAGAGGGGGCTGGCGCCTGCCTGGTAGAGCCTCGTGCCCCAGGACCTTCCAGCCCAGGGCAGCTTCCAGCCAGTGCACTGCTGCCCCTGCCCACCGCTGCCTGCAGGTGCCTGGGATGGTACCACACAGGCTCCTAGTGCAGATCCTGTCCTGCAATGCCCATTCACTGGCAAAGATACTGCTTTTCATGCCAGTAAGGGCAGCCCTGTCCCGGGGCAACCCGAGCCCCATTGCACTCACTACACCCCATGTCCCAGGCTGCAGCACCGTCCTGTGCCCAGGGAGCGGTCCTGTGCAGCACTTACCTGAGTAGCCAGTGATGTCCATTGCTTTGAGGTTCCTGCACTTGATGACGGTCAGTGTGAGCCGGCCTGCGGTCGGCAGGTAGCAAAGGGAGAACATGATCTCACCCAGGTCCACACTCTCCTGCAGCAGAGCAAAGCTTGGGTTATCTCGGCCCCGCACCACGTCCACAAGGGCCTGAGCCAACGGCCCCTCGCAAGCCCCACGCTCGCCGCGGGCACGAGGCACCCAGCCAACCCAGGGGCAGCCGGCACGTGGCACTGGGAGACATGCAGCCGTTTCTGCCCAAGGAGACGCTGGTGCAATTTACTATTTTAGTGCCCTGCAAATTAGTTTTCATGAGCAGCTTTCACCCAGACCAATGTGCCTGTTGCACGCTCACAAGCCATCCCAGGGTCACTGCCTTGCTGTGGGAGAAGCAAACCCAGCCTGAGACGCCAACAGGACTGGTATTACTAAATGGTTAGCAAACATCATGCTCTAGAGGCAGCAGGATGTTTCCCAAATACACTCCAGATGAGGAGAGAAATGCTTATTCTGCGTACAGAAATCCACCATCTGCAGCGACACAAACCTGTATTTGCAGAGGGAGCATTTGGGTCTCTTCACCACAATATAATGATCTGCTGGAGGGAAACTGTAGCTGTTAGTAGTAGAGTGGTGGAAGGAGACAGACATGTAAACGCACGTGGCACTTAGTGCTTTGCTAAATGTTGGGAGAGCAGCTCTTGTTGGCAAAGGAGATTTGCACCAAGCAATTTACTCTCACCCTCTGTAAGGCGAAGATTAGATATTTATTCCACTTAGACGTGCAGAATACTAACAAATGGTGTATAAAAATCCCAATTCTTGACAGAGACTTTCCTTGACTCTCAAATAAGTCAGTAATCTTCCCAAATGTGGGCAGTGCTGCAGAAACAGTGGCGGCTGAACATTTCTCATGCAGAGGATGCACAGCCACGCTGCGAGGAGCTGCAGAAACACTGGCCTGCGGTGCTGGTAGGTGAGTTTCATGCCCTGAATCCTAGCAGTAGTGGAAAGTTTAGATTAAATATTGAGGCATCATGACTAGAAGTGTTGCTGCTATCCCACAGGAAGGTTTCTGTGCAAGAAGCACAGATGCCACGTGCAGTGCGGAGTCCCTGCACACTGGTCCAGAGCAGCCTGGCGGGCACAAGGTGCTGGAGCCTCCTCTGCTCCTGCTGCTCTGGGCATGAAGCAGCCCCACATCCTTCCCTGGCTCCGAATCAATAACCTTTGCAACATGAAACCCCAAACATCTTACTGATTCACCACTGGTAGCTGTAAGCAAATAGGTGAGCACTGGTGATGTGAACAGTGCAAACCATGCCAAATGTGTCCCTATCTCCTGGCCCACATAACTGAGCGGATACGCTGTTAGTCACCCAAACCTTTCTACTGATTTTGTGCAACCTGTATTTATTCCTCTCAGTTTCAATAAAACAGCAAAATCTGGGGTGTGCTACAGCTGGCTGGGAGGTACTAGCAGGGCATTCACCCTCTGCTCTCTGCTCTTGGCTTCTTCCCACCTGCTTGGGTTTTTTTCTCCATGACTTAAGCTTTCTTGGGGTGAGCTATAGAAATGTCTGCTACTTCACACAGGAAAGTTAAAAAAATGCGTGACAGTTGAGGTTCTGAAAGGTAAATCAGCAACGTGGGCACCTCCTGCACTCCTGCAGGAATGACGTGCTGTTATTCGGAGGTTAATGCCCGTGCTATTGCGTGGAGGTCAGTGTCAACGCTCTGTGCCCAGCCCTGTGAGAAGGTGGCTTCCCCTGCTGCCTTAACCAGAGCTGGCAGGAACACGTCTTTCTCCTGCTTCCTTTCCAGAGGGAATTCTAGAGGGCTGATAGGTCCACACAAACCCAAACAGCTGCAGTAACACCAGGAGCAATGCTCCCAGCGCAGCAAAGCCCAGCCCAGCCAGTCCAAGTGCAGCAAAGCCCAGCCTGCTGCCAGGCCAGCGCTGCCGCTGCCGAGCAGCCCCTCGCCACTGCCGTGGGCGCGTGGAGGGCCCTGGGGACCACCTGGGACCACCCGGGACCAGCTGGGACCACCCCGTACGCCGCCACTGCGGGTACTCACGCTCGTGGCGTACTCTATGTCCTTCCAGACTGACGTCTCCCGGGACAGGTCGGAGGCCTCGAAGAGGTTCTCCAAGATGACCTCTCCGATCATGTCATGCCTGGAGAAGCGGTCGAAGTCAAAGACACTGAGGTGGAGCTTCCTGCTGGGCAGCTCCTCATGGGGCACAGGGAAGTGGAAAGCCTCGTCAAAGGAGGGGTTCAGCGTCTTCCTGTGCACCCGCGTCTGGAACTTGCGCTTCCTGTCGGGCAGCAGGTAGATCTTCACGTAGGGGTCTGAGCTGCCGCACAAGTCTTTGGCTGGCAGATCGAACGCCCTGAGGATCCGCACTGTCAGCACCTCATTCTCATAGTCGTACTTGAGAGTGAAGTTTATCTTCCCACAGGTTTTTGCTGCCTCTTTTTTGGGGTCCTCAGAGTCCACAGATTTTTGCTTATAGAGTTCGGGTTTTATGCGGCCGATGCTGGTGGGCTGCTCGGCCGCAGCGGGACCGTCCATGCCGTAGTCCATGCTGGCCATGTGCATTTGCCGAGGAAGGTGCCTCTTGAAGGAGATGTGCCTGCGCAAGGGGACGGGACAGCTGTGAGCCCCGCAGGGGCCTTCCACTCCTCTCCCTTAGCCTGGCACCAGGAGAGCGCAAGAATAAATAGGGCTGGTGCCCCTGAGCACTGCACAGACACTGCGTGTCCTGCAGAAAATGAGCATTAATGGGAGCAGCTTGCTAATCTGCAGCAAGCCGCGTTTTCACCCCCTACATCAGTAACAGCCTGTAGCTAAATAAAGGAGCCCAGTTCCCCTGATCAAGCCACAGGCAACACTGTGTGGAGGTTCTCTTACGGCTGCAAGATGCTGGCATTGCATTTCCTAATGGCAAAAGACATGCAGGGCTTTTCAAGTGAGAGAGGCATTGCCATCACTAAAAGAGGGTTTGCTCAAGGCACTGCTGCTTCCAGTCTTCCCTAGCAAATTCTCATCAAAAAGCAACACAGGTTTCTAGACAGGCAGAAATGTGGTGCCTCGTCCAGAAGCCATCCCCAGCACGGAGCGATGTGGAGCTATGTAAGCACACAAAGAGCTCGTCGTTTCCAGCCGTGTGCATGTCCCTGTCTGGGCCGACAGCCACCCCACAGCAAGGTGGGCTGTGTGGGGGCCACACAGAGCAGCTGGGTCCAGCCCCGGGCAGAGCCCCCAAATGCATCCACCCCTTGGGCTGCATTAAACATTGCTCCTCTGCCCATCCCTCCCGCGCGGAGCACGCGCCTCCCTCACCTGGTGGAAGAAGCGGGCTCCGTTGTCTGCCGCTGCATCCGTGTGCGCCGCATGATGTGATCCTTCATGGAGAGCTGCACCTCGGCAGGGATGTCTGGCGACGTGTGGCTGATCTTCACAGCGGCCTCCAAGAAGCTCATTGTGCCCGTGTCCTTGAGCTTGTCTGCCATGGTCTCCTTGCTCCGTGCAACCGCCAGGCTGGAGGAAACAGCCTTGTTCCTCCAAGGAACCCAGCACAGCTTCCAAAAGAGAAAGAGAAAAGCTGCCACCAAGGCGAGTCCACATGCAACCACCACCAGCGCAAGGAGGCTAACGGAGAGGTCTATGGAGGTGGCAGAGCCGGGGGACAGAAGGAAAAGAGAGAAGAAAAAGTGTGAGAAAGCCACATGTAAGAGATGGTGCAAGCTGACTTTTCATCTCTCCCAGGCTGGGAGGGTCCAGCAGATGTCCCAGCAGATCCCTGCCCCAAATGCACCTGGGAGCAGAGGGTATCTCCGGGGCTGCAAAGCATCCTCCTTGGCTTGCTCTGAGCAGAACGATGGAAGAGCACGACGACTGGGACGAGCTGCCATGCAGCACTGGAGAAACTGCTGTTCTTCTGCCTGGCAAAAGTGTTCAAACACCACACCAGCAAAAATCTCCCACAATGATCCTGAAAAGAAGACTGCTTTTGGACTATTAAAGTTCACCTCTTGCCCAGCTGTGGCGAATTAGAAAATCAACCCGCAAGCTGCTGATGCAGTGAAAACAAATATAGAAGGAGGCTGTGCAGCAGATATTGCACTCTTTTCCCTATTCCAAAGAGCATAGAGAAATCCAGAGAAAAAGATATGCAAGACCTCTAACTTTCTGAGTCACTTTTGCCTTGTGTGCTATATAGTGCAGCACTTGAAGCTTTTCTGGGGAGGAAAGAGCTTCCCTACATATGGCTGAGGAACCGGGAAAAAATGGAGAGCATGTCTACATGATCCGGGCTGTGAAAGCACTCACAGCTCTTCAGAAAGAGAAAACAGTGGTTGCTTTTAGCTCTTTTCTTACAATAAATGCCCAAATTCCCACCCAAACTGGCATTCCAAAGTCTGGATTGCACAGAAATATACATTCTTGTACGGAATAACCACCACCTCCTGTTGACTCCTGCTCCATACTGCTTGGATCACAGACAATTTGCTCTGCTATGTGAAACAGCAGCTGGTTCACTTGAACCCACAGACCAGGGGCCTGAGGCCCTTGACTGAATCCAGAGCTGAACCTGATTTCAGTAAAGTTAGTTGAAGAGAAAGACATGCAGCTAGTAAAAAGTGAGAGCTCTGTGCATGGAGCTAGATCAGACTGATGGTTAGATGGACAAATGAATATTTAATGTTTGCCCGTATGAGTTCACTGCACCTTTCCAGGTCAGGCCAAACTACACTTAAGGCAAACAAATTCTTATCTCCAAGAGCCCTAATAACTGACTCATTCAGAAGCTGTATTTAAAGCAGTCTCTCAAAACACATCCTTTCCAGGCAACTTCACTTTTAGTAGCTCATCTGGGAGGCTCACATCTGTACTTCACCATAGCTACTGTCAAAGTGATCCTTGAAATAGGCTTTTCCTGAAATAGCAATCATGGCAGCAAGCGCTCCGTGTACTCACCAGCCCAGCGCAGGGGCCAGGCTGCCGGAGCTCCGGCACCACAGCCGGGTGCACAAGCGGTGCCGGCTCCTCTGCCACAGCTACAGTCGTGCCGGGCAGCAGCACATCCTCCTTGGACACCTGATTAACGGTTCTCTCAGCCTGGAGCGCACAGAGGTGCCACTTTCCCATGGTTTGAGTTTAGTCTTGGAATCGTGCCCAGGATATTCAGGGAGTTTCGTAAGGACACTTTAGATGTTCTTTTTGCAAATATGTTTTCTGTTCCTGTTCTGATTCTTTTTCCTGCAAATGGTTTTAGCAATCCAATAATTTTTCCAGTCTCATTCCTTCAGACCCTTGTGAAACATCTGCCACTGAAGCCTGACTCAAGCACACAGAGACATCCAGAGCATGCATGGACAGACTTAGGCTCAGTGACAAGAAGCTACCCAAAAGATTTTCCCTGGGAAGCTTCTTTATCCATCTTAAAATTACTCCTATGACTATAACAGAGACGAGCTTTGAAGAGATAAATAATTATCACATTTTTTGCTGGCAGTGACGTCATCTGTGGGCACTGAGTCACCAATACCTTTATCAGCCTGTGAGGGTGCAGATGAAGCTAAAGACCAAGTCTGCCCACAGCTCCACTTCAAAGACTTGCGTGGCAAACACCCCGCAGGCTAATAAAAATAGTTTAAAAAATCCAACATCCCAACAGCAATGCTTTCAGGACAAATCTGCTTTGCAGATTACCAGCTCCTTTCATCAGCAAATAGCAGACGATACTACCAGCCCCCTCTTTGACCTCCCTTCCTCCTAGTCATTTAAATGCACAGGGTAAGGTCTTGCACAGAAGAGCCGTGGTGCAGAATCCATCGCTGATGGAAATTGTTGACGTGGCAGAAAAGTTCCTGCTAAGATGCTTCTCTCCACTGCAAAAACCCTACAGCTGGCACAGATCTCGCACACCGGACCCGTTAATGAGAAGCATCAGACGTCACCTGCTGTCCCTTCTGAAGAGCTGTTGCCCGCTTGCGAAAGGTTCCAGCCCGTGGCCCTTCTTGCTGAGCTGGCCATCACAGCGCATTTGACAGGACTCGCAGACACTTTTACGCATGACCTCCTCCTCCTCCTCTTTCCTCCAGCTCTCACATAAAGCACAAGAAGAAGAGACTGAGTTTTTACAGGCGTTTTTGAGTATCTGCCTTAGAGAATATTGGCTTGTCTGATGATCACTTTGAATTACCCAAGACTTGTTCTTGACTTATTAAACTTAAATATCAGTTGGACAGAGTTGACCTTAATAGATTTAATGAGCTTTCTCTTGCGACTGTGAAAATACCAGTTACTTTAGGAAATATCTAGATTTGAAACATTATTAAAGGACATTTGAAGCATGAACTGCAAAAACAAGACAATCTCTTAGCCGAAAGAAAAATGCTAATCTTGGCCATACGGCCAGATATTTCTCAAATGTTCTTGGCACCAAAGTAGGTCATGCCTATCCGCCCAAAGACATCTCCAGAGGCAGACAGGGACCAGAAGGACACTTTGGCCTGGGAAAACCACATTTTCGTGTGTTTGTATCACCCCAGCACTTACCTGTGTCAGTGTCCTCAAGACCTTGGGTGGGGAGATGGACAAGGAGCAGGCCATGGAGCTGGCTTGATTTCTTAGCTTGTCTTTTTTAACATCTTTGCAGTGTCTAATCACATTGCTACCTATGCCTACTGCAAAGCCTACAGGAGGGCTCAACACCGTCAAATGTCCTGGGAGGTCACAATGTTCTGGCGCCTTCCCCTGCCTTTCTGGGAGAGGTCAAGGTGGCCCAGAACATCAGGAAAGACCAGTGCAGCAGTTCAACGCTTTAAAGCCAAACGCAAAGGGGAATCCACTGTGGTTAGTCCAGCTCTTGCCTCCAGGGTCCAGCCCTCTGCAAGCAACTCATTAGTAAAACTATACATGTTGTCGCTTCTTAGATGGCAACTAACTAAGAGAATATGGTGGGACCACTCTCTAGCTTCATTTCCCTTATGACTTCAAATTACCCAGGCCAAGATACCAAAGGGAATAATTAGCAAAGTCCAATCAGAAAACGATTAATAATACGCCAAAGATGTGATTGCAACAGTCTATTAACTGCAAGACAATATTGGTCTAATTATGGCAACATTTACTTGTATTACTCTGAAGGTGTTTGTGCTGTCACTAGGAGATTCACAGATAATTCTAAGTTTAATGTGAAGAGCTATATTTAATATCTTCATGGATGTAATTTAGCTCTTCTTCCACCCACTCTCCACAGAGAAAACAAAAAGCGTTTGATGTCTCTCAGCCCTCGGGCATCCATTAGTCATCCCAGCCGCAGCCAGGGCCTGGGCAAAGTCAGGATCCTCGGAGCGGGAGTGCTGCGGGGCATGAAAAGACGAGCTCTGCAAGGCTGGAGCTAGCGCTGCCGGCCCTGGGCTACACTCCGGCTGCCAAGGCCGCTCCTTGGGCACCGTGGCCACGGGCACCCTCACACACGGGACGTCTGGTCCTGTTTTCTTTCCCTGGGTCACCTGGCTCTTCGGGCTGTCCCGAGGAGTGAAGGTCTTTGCTAGAACCCGGTTTTCCGTGCGGTTCATGGACCGTTCGTGCTGCTCCAGGCTCCTCCGTCCTTCATCCACCCATCCCGCTCTGCTCGGCAGCACAGCTCACGGGGTGCAGGGCGGGACAGGGGAGAGGGAGAAGTTTCCATTTAATCCTGGTTAAAGCCGTGTTTATTCAGCAACACTGCTCAGCTTTAAGGCTTGGAGGTGCTTCAAACAGACAGCGGACAAGGGACCCCCACCGAATGATAGCGTGATGCAGCAACGTCCAGTGGCTATGGAAAGAGCAGAAGGAGAAGGGCACAGAGCTGGGAATATTCCTGGGGAGTGCTGAGGGGAAAAGTCCCAGACTGCGCCAGTGGTGTGAGGAGAGCACCCAGATTCAGCATTTCTGAGAGGAAAGCGGCCATACGAGAACCCAGGTGCCGGCAGAGCCGCTCCAATAGACCAAATACTTCTGTAGTTTGGTTTCATCTGTGCTGTGCTGCAGACTACAGCCAAGTCATGGGGCTTGTCTACCACGCATAGTTCCCCAGAATGGGGTGAAAGCGGGAAGCACAGTTTCAGGCAGTTTTACATGAGGAACACTCAGTAAATCCTTGACCCTGGCTTAGTGCCAAGCCTGCCTCACAAGCTGCATTGCCCCGGGTGCCAGAGGCAGCCCCGGGACCCGGACGAGTCCCTGGGGGCTGGGTCTCATTTGGGCCCTGCGGCTGCGCCCGCTCGGCCTCCTTTGGCAGAAAGCAGCAGGTTTGCCCTGGTCGCGAGATGCCAGACACGGAGTCTGGCACCGCTGGCGCCCAGCAGCCTCCTCCGCAACGTGGCTGCGCGGGCGCCCGACGGCGCCGCAGCGTCACCGGCACCTCCCACGGCACCGGACGGGGACGGGGGCAGGAAGGCCCAGCCGGCCACGCTAGGCAGGGAGAAGCAATGTCCCCAACATTAATTTGCAGCTGCCACCAGGTTCCCACAAAAGCAGAGCTTACTGGAATGCAAACTACAAGCTTCAAAGGCAGGGATGAATCAGAAGCTATTTTGAGAGCAATTATATAAGATTATAAAGTTAAAAACATCTCATTATTGCACGTTAAGTATGAAGACAGCCTGCTCCACAAGGAGAACCTGGAAGGAACCAGCATCTTAGCCAGCCATGCCCCATGGTCCAGGCAAAAAGCTCCTCCTGATGGCCGGTCCAGCAAGGGCACCGTCCCTGCACAGCGGTAGGTCTTTGCACCCTTTGCCGACACGCAGCTCTGCAGGGGATGTGACAGGGAGAAAAAACAGAGCAGTGAAGTCTGGGCAACGTCCTGCAAAGCCATGCTCTCCATTGGTTACTTGAGCTGTTTTAACACCCACTTGCCACAGCTCTGCCCTAGACAGCATGACCCGAGCGCCAGGAGCTCTGAGGAAGCCCCTGAGGTCAAGCTGAACTCGCTTGCCGGGGATGGACCCTACACCCCAAGCTGTGGCACAAGCCACCTGCTCTCCGGTGCGCGGCCCCGCTTTGGGGACATCTCCAAGCCCTCCATCTGTCCTCAGCATATTGTGCTGCTCGGCCGGCAGTCCCTGCGCGGGAGGGACACGGGCGCCATGCCAGCACCGCTTTTGTAGCACGGGAGCTGCTCCCAGCAGCCACTGTTTGTTTTGCACTGTGCTCTCAGCTGCAGAAGCTCCGTTGCAAGGCTGTTGCACAGTGCAGAATGCCTCGGCTTGGGTTCCTGCATGTCCAGTCCCCGGTATCCGCACTGGCGCCAGCGCAGGTGATGCCTCCACCTATGCTGGAAGGATCCCACCTGGCATCCAGCAAAGTGTTGCTAAAACCAAACGCTTCAGTATTCCAGGGCAGCTTGCACTCTTGACCGTGATTTTCTTGCTAGGCTGCCAGAAAAACATATTTATCAAACTTTTGCTGGTGTGTGTGGCCAGAAGAAGCTCCAAGCTGGTAGAAATGCTGCATTTCTATGGCTAAAGTGGGAAGAAAATTGTTCTGAACTAGAGAAACATTTCCCAGGGCTTTAGGCTGCCTTGTGTCTCAATCAGCTGTTCTTCAGAGCATCATAACTGAGATAGTAACAGTTGTCACCGCTGTATTTCTAGCAGATGACAATCTAATGCACTGCTATAAGCCACGCAGAGGATAATCACAGTAGATTGCTGTGCCTTCACCCTGTGACATTCTCTCAGTATCGGCAAGGCTGTTACACTGAACATGCAGGGCACTGTGAGGGGATGTGTCGAGCTCGAAATCTCATCTTCTGCTGTGCAGCGGCCCTACCCTCCCCGGGGCAGCAGTGCCTAGGAAGCCTTGCCCAACCTCATTGAACTGGGAGATGTGTCGTCCCCTGAGCCCAGAAGCAGCAGGCAAAGGGCACAGCACTGCGGTCTGGACACTCCTGGGATGCACCAGCACTTCCAGGTGCAACATCAACAAAATGAGAAGCAAAATCTCTTCACTGTCTCCACAAGCAGGCTAAGACCCCAAACCCCACAGTTTCCTTATAAACCTTGGCCAAAGCTACTAGTGACATGGTTGGTGGGCGGCGGGTCCAGGGAAAAGAGGGGACTTGGGACAGCATAGCCCTGACTGATGCCCAGGCAGCTCTGACATCTCCCTGCCCTGCCTTGGCGGGTGGGTTTGGGCAGGAGGATCCTTCCCCGCAGATCCTCGACCTGTGGAGACTCAGCAGCACTGCAACCAAGCCCTTCAAAATGTCCCAGGACGGCGCATGGAGGAGGCCGGGCCCCCTCCTCCCTGCAGCCCAGCTCCAACCTGCCATGAACAGCAGCGCGGGCTGCAGCACGAGGCAGCAGGGAGCACCCAGGCACAGAGCCCCTGGCAGAGCAGCACCGCTCGCTGGGCCGTTCTGCAGCAAACCACCCTGGTGCCTGGTAGGCCAGCAGGAGCAGGAGGCCGGGGGGATCCGTACACACCCACGGTGCGGCGCACGGAACCCAGGCACTGCACGCAGTGCTCTGCAGCAGCCACGAGCATGCACGGAAAATCAAAGCAACACTTATTTTGCCAGGTACCCAGCTGTGCTAGAATTGGTGGACAATTATTAATCATCCGGAACCAAATAACCAAGATTTTGTGTCCCAGTGATTTTTGAAAAGAAGTGTTTCTGAAAGAGCTTGCATGAAGTGTATGTCTAGAATCCTGCCCCAGTCCCTGATGTTCAGTTTCCTGCAATATTGTCAAACACTAACGTTCTACCACATAGCAAACCAAAGTAAATATAAATGTGGCCCCAATTAGCATCTGCAATTGCCCTACATCTAAAACACCTGCAGGCAAACTTCTTCTTTTCCACAGTCAGTTTAATCTACAGTCACTCCAGATATCCTCTCCATCCCTCTAGGATGCCATTTTGCAATGTTCAGGGATAATTAGAGACAGTGCCTGGCACAGAGACGAATCCATTGCCTGAACAATGGCCAGTGTAAGTCACTGCTACGCTAGCGAGTGCTCTGAAGGCAGGAGATAAGGCTAATGCAGATAAGCCTCCCATTCTTGTGATTTACAAATAGAAAGATATATGCACACTATTTCCTCTGAAGAAGAGACCACAAATACTAAAACTAGAAAAAGATGCCTGACCAACATGAGATGGAAACAGGAGGTCCTAAGGAAGAAGAAGATTTACCTAGAAACATGAGCAGTAAGACATTTAAAAGGTTTGCAAAAAGCCCCAATAGCTGAGCTACAAAGTTAAATGAAGAATTACATTGGCACTGAGACACACACGGGGTCCGGGTTTCTCTCCGAAAGGAAGCGCATAGGTGAGACCGAGGGTTGCGATCACAGGGTGGGTGCACGGCAGGAGCACCTGCACCAGCAGACAAACATCCACAAGCAGAACGCGCTGGTGCCTCAGAATCTGCCTGCAAAACATCAGGGAAGATGGAGCAAGGCTCTGCCCCGATGTGAACCAAGGCACATGCCTGGTCTAGTGAAACCCAGGGGAAACGCTGAGAGCAAAAGAAAATGTTTCAACAGCAGAGACAAACTGCTGAAGCAAAATGTGTGTTAGGGCAAGGAGGGTCCGCGCTATAGCAGAAGGCAGAGGATGGATGAAGCAGCTCGCGGAAGGTGCACTCACCACGAGGGTGTCTGCCGCGCTGCGCAGCCCTCCGCGGCCAGTGCCCGCAGGCAGCGGCAGCTCCGCCGCCGTTCCTATGGAGTTGTGGCTGCAGCTCCTAGGGAGTTGCGGCTGCTGCTCCTATGGAGTTGTGGCTGCTGCTCCGTTCCGTGGCTGCTGCTCGGCGGCTGCTGCTCCCGGCTGCGCGAGCGGTGCCGCAGCTGCGCGGGGAAGGCACCAGGCAGCCCTGGGCACTGCCCTGCGCCGCACAGCGCCGGGCCCGCCGGAGCCGCCCTGCGCCTGTGCGTGCCGCCGGCTCCCCAGGCGTTTTCGGTGTGGGCAGCACATGCAGGCAGCTCTGGCACTTAACACGTGAGCACAGCTGCCTGCTCGCAGGCGGGCTGTGTAAACCACTTGTCTTGGAGCTGTGCCTCTGGTTTTGTGACTTCAGTCTCTTTTCAGTAGTAGTTTTGTAAGGGTCCCTGTCAGTAGCCAGATTTGAACCCGACACCTTGGGGATCGAAGTAGAGACCTGTTCCCTTGAGCTAGGTTGAACCCTGTGCACCAGCCCGGGCGGCGCCGGTCCTGCTCATGCACCCAACGTGGCCGAGCAGCGCGGTCCTTGCAGGGCTGCATTGCCCAGCCCAGAGAGCCTTGCCCCAGGACCCTGCTGCCCCAGGACCCTGCTGCATGCCTGCTCCCTGCAAACGCATGCTCCACTGATCAGCACTAGTTTTGCCTGGGGAACTTCAAACATGTTTACTGTTACAGAACTATATTTGCTCAAAAAGCACTTTACTAGTGATTCCAAGCGGAGTGTTGTTGCAGACACTGCGTTAACACAGGGTTCATCCCTATTTCATAACTAGTGGTTGGAAGTATCCCGTATCAGTGAAAAAGCTTTCCATCAATTTCCCTCCTCTCCAACAATCATATGAATATGAATCTCTCTCTCTCTCTATATATATATATATATAAGGAATATATGGAATGTATGCAATAATTATTTCCAAAGGAAATATTTCATAAGCAATTTCTCCATGCAAGCCCCCCCTTCCCCCTTCAATATTCCTGCTGTGAAAGAGCCCATATTGCACAAAATGCACCTGTATCTGCCTGCAGCAGAGGCAGTGGTGAACACAAGGCTTTCGTTTTAACGCATCTTTGGGAAGCATCAAGAGCTGCACTGCTGGCAATGTGACGTTTGGGAGGAACAGCTTGCTCTGTGGGTGAAATGTGGGAGGGCTGGGGCACATGGGATGGCAGTGGTGTATGATGGTGCAGGGACAGGGATGCACGGCCATCGTCTCCCCTGGTTGACTCCTTTGGCTGAGCGCCCTGGAGAAACGAACCCACAGTCTGTCCTGGAGTTGTGAGTAGTGGCCACGGTGGGTCCATCTGGGCCCTGGTCACCAGCTCCAGCACCACGCACGTCCGAGGAGTGGCAGGGCGGCTGCTGGCCATGGACACCTGGCCGGCTAACAGCAATGTGTGCTGAAGACATGGATGTTGAGCCCCCACAGCCCTGCGGCGGCTCCGGCTGCTTGGGGAGGTTCTGCATGCCATGAGCCGCTGCCGGTCCCCACCACAGGGAACAGAGAACACAGGGAGTTATTGGCCATGCGGAGAGCAGGGACAATCTGTCGGGCACCAGCACACAGGGCTTCAGGAACAGCAGGCACAAAGCCAAGAGCTTGTAGCACAATAAGCAGCTCAGGATACCTTACATGGGCTTTTTGCTACTGTTTTGCACAGCTGCGAGTCACGTTTTAGTAAAACTGGGAGCTTCCACCAAACTTCTGCGTTACCAGCCACAGCCTCCCGCCCCCCTGCCCCGACTGCAGGCACCAGGGCCAGCTGGGCAGCAGGTCGCACGTGGCAGCATCTGTCAGGACGCAGCAGCTCCAGGCTGTGCCCTGGGCAGGCAGCGAGAGCTCCCCTCCCTCCCCAGACGCAGGGCGCTCCTAGGCCCTAGGCCCTGCGCCACAGCCCACGCACGCCCAGCGTGGTGGCACTACCTGGCTCCGAGACGCTCAGGCTCTCTTCCGAGGACAGCAGGAGGAATTCCCGGCAGGAGCCCAGGTCCAGGCCAGGCAGGTTTTTCCTGCGGCACAGCTCGGTGACCATGCGCACTGCTCGCCGGCAGCGGCCCTCGTCCGTGACGCCCCTCATCTCCCACACCACATCCTCTGCCGCCACCTCACCACAGAGCCTCAAAGTCCCACGAGGAAGAAGCGTCTGTTCCCTGGAGCCCGGCCAGTCCCACGGTGCCTCAGTGGCAGCACCAGGGCCGACAGGGCTCCTGCTCCGCGGACCTCCCGCCGCCGCGTGGCTCTGTCCTGCCGCCTGCAGCCCTGGCGGGGCCGCGAGGCTCCCGCCGCACTGACATCAGATATGTGGTGGCTGCCAAGGCGGGCACCAGGCGCGGAACCTCCTCCCAAAGCCACTTTGATACTCGCCGTGTTACATCTTTAAAGATGCAGCCCAGATAATGCTGCTTAACCCTTTGTGCCTCCCTCACCACCCCAGCCCCCCAGGTGCAGCGACCCAAACACAGCCCAGACTGAGTTGCCCAAGAGGTGATGGCCAAATCATGCTGCTCGAGCACAGTGCATGGGCAGCCGGCTGCAGGGAGCACCGTGCGTGCAGAACTGCCACACGCAGCGTGAAAAGCAGCACATCTTATTGATTTCAGCACCGGCACACCGGGCTGCAGGTGGCAACAGAGACCAAGAATCCCTTCCCATTTTGCCGATCAAAGCTTTTAAGTTTTCTGTAACATTTTTCAAATCCTGCTGCAGTTTAGCAGACTGGTCACGCCAGATGCAGAGCTCCTGCTGAGCAGAGCACGGGGCTGACAGGCAGGGGAAAAGAAGCAGATAATCAGCAGTTACAGTTATATTCAGCAGAATGACTTGTTGCAGCTTCTAGAGAGGAGCTCATGCAAATCTAGTGAGCATCCTGGAGAACCAGGGACCGGGTGCCGGGTCCGGCAGCCCCCCATGTCTCTTCGCTTTCTGCTCCTGTGCTCACGGTATCTGCTAATTGCTGCAGTCCCAGGGGTTGCAGACGCACTGGCCCCAGCCGCATTCCGGCACCCAGAGCTGCCTGAGGCCGCACGGCTGTGCATGCTGCTTGCTTACACAGCACTTCTTCCTCCAAAACTTCTGCTGCCATGACAACGGGATAAGAATCTTCTTTTACGGCAGCAGGGTCCTGCGAGGAGCCATGCAGAGCTGCTCCACATCAGCAGCCAGCACAGCCAGTGCAGTCCATGCTGCAGAGCTGCAGGCAGCCCACGGGGGCTGGAGCCTCCCCATGCACAAGGACGAATCCCTGGGGCGGCACATCGGGTGGGGAGGGATGTGTGCGCAGCTGCGGCATGTGCACATGCAGAGCTGTGGGACATGGACACGCAGGGTGGGGGCCATGCGCCAATAGAGCTTTGAGACAGGCACACAGAGGTAGGAGCCAGCTCTGGCCTTAACCTTAGAGAGATTTCAACAGGAAAAAAAAAAAAAAAAAAAAAAAAACCAGAAAAAAAAAAAGGTTAATATCCAACTGAGAGCTTGTAACACAGAGATCAATAACAAAATTGAATTATTTGGAAAGACAGAAGCTAATTTTATTTCAAAGATAATACCAAGAATGTTTTAGTTAAATTTAAAGTCACCTTGGGCTAATTATTCACTTACACTGCAGAGAAGCCCAAGCTGCCGGGTTGCAAGAGGGACCCCGATGGGAGCACGCAGACACTCAGGTTTGTTTCTTTGGAAGGCAGAAACAGATGCCTCTGCTCCCTTCCTCGCTGCAGCAATCACAGACACCGCTGCTGCTCAAGACACAAGGCAGGAAAATGGCCAGGAGACCCCACTGGAGCCGTGGCTGTGTCCCGACCTGCTGGCTGTCTGCATTCAGTCCCAGTCTTCAGGAAGAAACATCCTAAACTGATATCTTCAACAGAAAATGAGTTGTAAGCTCGTCTCCACCCACTCTATGTTTATGAAGCATTTCCCATATTCTAATTATTTTATCCACTCCCAGTGGAATCTAGGGAACAAGAGTGCAAACACAACGGTACAGCCAAGCCCTGCACTGAACCTTCTCTTACAGCATGGAAAAGGGATCTCCGATGACCCTTCTCTCTCAGTCTGGAGTCAGCTTTCCCCTGGCTGTGCCAACCAGGCCATTGCCTTTCCAGGCAGGTGTTGCTGCAGCCGAGCCCGGGCCATCTGCAAGAGGGGCCTGCGTGCCTCCTTGCTGGGCCCACAGACCTTGTGGCCCTGCTCCATGACCTCCAACAGCAAAACCTGGCCATTGCCATCAAGCCCCAGGGTCCTCTGAGGACAGATCCTGCCTGGCCTGCTGAGTGCAGCAGAGCTGCATCCCAGCTCACTATCATGTGGACCTGGGAGCAGTCCTCCTGCTAGCAAAGGACAAACTCCTAGCAGCCTAACAGGCGCCTTCCAAAGGTCACAGCTGACTGAAACCCTGGCAATCATTTCCATTCCCAGAGATCTTGGTAGAGAAACAGCCAGTGCAGCAGCCAGGAGCTTCCCAGGCCAGTGGTTCCTCTTATATCTACAGCCCCACGTCCTGCATGCGTGCCCCACATCTCAGCCGCACGCCCATGTACCAGGCCACGGGCGCGTGCTCTCAGACACGCTTCTGTAAGAGGGCAGGAGGGAGGCTCCTTGCACGCATACAGGTTGATAGAGTCTCCAGGCCCAGCAGTTACATTATTGAATTTCTACTGAATTGAGTCTGCAGCAGCAAACAGCAGAGCCTGAGACGCTTGGCTCTGCTAAGACACGAGGCAGCTGCTGCCTTTGGTGGATCTGGAGGATGAGATTAAAATTGGGCAGCAGATGAGCTTCGTCTGACACAGGCACCGTTCACCCAGGAGCAGCCACACAGCACATGGTGTCCAGCCGCGATGAGAGGGGGGTGGCCAGGAAGGGGGTGCCTCCCTACGCTGCGCCAGGAGCCACCCAGGACCCGGCCTGAAGCCCCCATGAGAGTGGGGATCCGTCCGGTTGCTGCTCCTTGCTCTGGTTCTGTCCCGGCAACGTCCCAGGCATGAGGAGCAGCGTGGCGAGGCGAGAGGCCCAGGCAGGAGGTGCAGGCCCTGCTCGCTGCCCCTCACTCCTGGCGGGAGCCAAGGCGCTGCCGCCTCTGCTCCGGCTCCATCTGGTGACATCCAGGATACAGGCGTTGGGGGACCGGGCACCGCGGCACCCCAGTCCTGCATCCCCACAACAGCCCCACCAGCAGCCGCCGCTCCCAGCGCTTCACTCGGCCCCGCGGCCACAGGGACGCAGTCGCAGGGACCTGGTCAGAGGCTCCCAGCCATTCCTGGGGAGCAGGAACCGCAGCGGGGAATCACTCCTGTTGCTGTGGGCTGGCGGACACGTGAGGAGTGGCCTTCAGATGGCGCTGGGGGGGCCCTGGGCCTGGGGGTTCCCCTGCCCCGGTACCTGCTGCTCCCTCCGTGCCCTCATCCCTAACTCGGACCCAAACTGCGGATCAGGTCCGGAGCTCAGTGTTCTCCATCTCTAAGCCGCCCCTTGCCCAGACCACAGAGCTGCCGCTGTCATCGTAACCGCTGCAGTTACATCTCGCTATGGTGTTTAGCCAAATTTCCTTCTTTCAAGTATCAGGAACCTCTGTCACTGCTGAGGTGTGAGGACTAGGATGATCCAACCCAGATTTGCAAAAAAAAAAAAAAAAAAGAAACTCAAATGGAAAGATTTTTTTCATTTTTCTAATTTAATAGAAATAACAAAAACAAAATGGTTTTCAAACAAGGCTTTAAACTGATCTAATACAACTTCTACACCACATTCTAGAGCATTTAACAGGAAATATTTACAGGCAGCTAATGTATTAAATAACCATGGAAAGAAAAAAATGTTTTTTTTAATTACACACCAGCAAAAACACAGTAACAGAACATTTAGAAACTGTAACCTTATTAAAAAATAAAAGTTAAATATAATTATTCAGATAATATAATACCACAGAAACAGCACTTTTTTGAAGAATCATATTAAAAGATGGGCAGAGTTTATGATGTGCAAAAAGGTACCAGCTTAACTACTGGAAGCAAGAAATCATCAAAGAATGCCATGATTTTAACCTTTTTCTGAATATGCATACATGTAAAAGAGGCTTTCAATGCACAAATCTTCATAGGTTTACATACACAGTTCATGGTGTTAGGAATCTAAGAAATCCTCCATTTGCAGGCCATTAGCAGACATGCATTCTTTTATTTTGGAAACGCAGCTCACACTCTACATGAATGCCGCAATGAGTCAAACTTAGAAAATTATTTTAGTACCATTCCTTGTACAAATTCAGTGAATTCTAAAGAAAGCAGCCTTGAGCTGTTTGATCACTCAATAGAAAAGGCCAAAACCGCATTTCATACATTTAATAGTTCATTTATAATAAAGATACCCATATTAACTACCATTTTGGAAAACTAATTCAATTTAAATACATTAGAAAGCATATAAAGTAGAATCCCCATAGGTGAACACAGGAACTAGATGGAAGAGTTACTGTACAAGCATTTTGAGAAAAAAAAAAACACCATATGTGAAGATACAATGCATAGCATATGTTCAGTCTGAAATATGTCTATGTAAACTGTGGCATATAAATTTTTTTTAAAAAAGTACCTCCGTTATTTACTCAAACACCTACTTTTTAAAAAAATATGTAACTTTCCCCAATTTTTAAAATAAAATGCCACACTATATTGTTAATAACTTCTGCACACTTATTTTTAAAAGCTAGACTTGGTGATATGCATACAAACTTCCCTATAAAATCACTATCCAAAGGAAAGGATTCCTGCCATGCAAAGAGGCAACAGACAAAGCAGTTTTATTGCTTTTTCCAAGGAAGAGAGTAAGAAAAAGAAGAAAAAGGCTCCTCCAGTACAATGGTCCGCACAGCTTCAGGACACTCCTGCCATCACCTAAGCTCCCAGAGGTCAGCGATAAACAGGGCTGCACAACAGGCTGCTGAATACGAGCCAATTTGAGAGACTCCTGTTTGAGTGGCTTGCAGAAATGTTTATAAAACATTTAATTGCTCCAGTACCGCCTATACCAACATGGTCAGATGTCACCAGTAACAGCAATGGCAACATCTCATAAAAAGAACTGGTCTATAATAGAGCATTTCTACTTTCAAAAGTTTGGGGAACACTACTTTTTTTGGATGGTCACTGAACCATATTACACTGTTGACCACTTAATTCCAGGGCATAATTGAACAAAAGGTCTGAACCTATTCAGATGGTTAAATTAGCACTAATCACTAGTAATTATATGGCAGGATACCTGCTGAGGTAACTGAGAAGTCCACAAGTAGCATGCTGTACGCTCTTCACTCCCATTTCAAAGCACGTTGCCTTCTACTTCTTTGGGTTAACTTAAGACTTCAGGGCCATATACAGCAAAAACTGTGACATAAGTGATGTTTTTACAAAAGCATCTTGAATTAGAGCAGACAGAGCAGATTAGAGCAAGTGCGGGATCCCAGCTGCGGTGCCGTGGGGCTTGCTCCCTAACACGGGCCAGGTCTGCACCGTGGCGCAAGAGGGGCCCGAGCAGCACCGGGGAACGGGTAACCTGCGTGTGCTTTTGTCCGGGCTAGCAGGGAGCCCTCCCAACGCTGCTCTGGTCGAGCAAAGCCCTGAGCAGTGCTGGAATGAACGCTGGCAGGCGGGGGGACTGGGAAACGCACTAACAGAGATTGCACCCTGCTGCATCTCTCTGTGTAGCCTCAGCCCTTACCAAACTGTCACTGAATTACTCTATTTGCAGTACCAAAAGGGACAAAAAAAATCAAGACTTTTCTTTCCTTTCTTCTATATATAAAAGAAACGGTTCTTTTATAAATAAAAGACTTGTTGCATGCAGGTCATAACTCCATATCCACAACACTACTGAGATCAAACAAAAGGAGCAGCTTTGGAAGCTTGCGGGGTTATGAGCAAGAGTAAAGCTTGACCTCTCATCCAGACCCGGCTTAGTGCTACCTGTGGGTTGCAGGCGAGCCACTGCCATGGAGGCTAATGGGGCTCACATGCACCTTGCCTGGCAGTGGGTAAAGCAGGGCTGGCAGCAGCTGGGGACGGCCCCAGCTCGCAGGGGAACTGGCATTGCTCTCAGCAACAACCAGAGCTTCTCAGTGTGCACACAGGTAAACTGCTCCAGCCTGCAGCTACATGACCTACAGGGCTCAAGTGCCATAAAACAGTAACTCCGACTGAAGAGAATTCACAGAATCTTATTTTTATTGTAATTTTAATAATATTCTTTTGTCAAATGAAGCTGAGAAACTAGAACTGCATAAATAGGCAATACACAGAGCCATTAACTGATCTCTTGATTAGTGTCCTATTCACACATTTCATCCTTCTGTACTGGCAAAGTTTTTGCTACAGTGTCAATTTAACATATGTATGCTTAAGTAGAATGACTTTTCCTTTCACAAACTGGTAAAACTCAAACCTCTGTCAATATCCGAATAACAAAAAATCAGTTTGAGTCAAGTGTAACATCTTTTTAATCTAAAGTGAGCTTAAAGTTATGAATACCTTCAGTCCCCTTGTATATTGTGAGAGGTATAGTCACAATGTAGATATACTTTGTTCTATATAAAAAGAAATCAAAATGTGATTTGCATAAAAATGTCTTAAGAGTATTTTTAAGATTTGATACATTGTGCTAAAATATTTAACTTTAGCATTATGATAAAGTACATACCAATGAACAGCCACAGTAATTGCTCATGCTGAATATATTAAACCCTCAGTGCTTCACCACAGAACTGCTGTATTCACACAAAATTTTTTGGCAGATTTAGAGTCTGTCAACTTGACATCAACTGATATAGGATTTCTTCATCTTACTTTCACAAGATCTACATGAAGGTTAGAAATTACATTTCTTGGTTCTAGCATTGAGTTCAGTTAAGGAAAAAACAACTGCCCAAAGCACAATTACTTTGCCATGACCTCATTTCTAACCAGAAATGCTGCAACAAAGGCAATGTGCAGGGGAAGGCACTGCAGAGATGCCTGCTGCAGGGTTTAGAGGAACAGGAAAATCGTGCTGTTTTCTATATTTTACCAGACACTATTCAACTCCAAATGCTGGTCTGTGCAAAAGCTTCATTTTATGTATGCACAAGTAACCTAATCTTAACAGGATTTTTCCAATTTTTCTGGACAATACACTCATGAGCTGCTTCTGAAGAAATTTCTGAGTAGTACTCTAATAAAAATAAGACAGAACCTCAAAATGAATGCAATGTTAGAAATAGACAGCATATATTACAAATCTTTTCTTGATAGGAACAATCAATAAGAATACATATTAGCTTAAAAACAGTTCAGCAAATGTTGCTGACCTGCAAGAAATCTCAGTTCACTATTTACAAATAAGACAAAAATGAATACAAGAAATTTTACACATTTGGTAGTCAATATGTTATTGTTTGCCAAGTAGTCTATTAGAAATTGATATTTAGGAAGACTGGGAAAAATAAACAAAAATAAAAAACCAAACAGGTATCACCTATTCAGTCTATATTTCAAAAACAGGAAATTAGACAATGAATACTGGAAATAACATTCTTCCTCATTAGGGATATCAGGGACAGATGTGACAATGCTAAGTATTCTGTCATTAACTCCATTAAAATGTTCTGTGCACAGGATTCTTAATAAATATGATCAGACCTACTATAAAACAACAGTTGCAACAAGTTTAATCCTGCATCTGTTAAGAACTCACACTCCTGGCAATTGCCAATTCAGAACAGTTTAATGATTTTTTTTTTTGCTATACATAAAACGTTGTAAAGAAAAGTCCAACTTAGGTACTTGGATCAACACAGATCAGTTACTCACAATATTACTTCAATGAGATGACAAAACCAATGAGCCAACACACACTTAAACTCACACAAAAAGGAACATTTTTTACAGTTTACACTGCAGTCCAGCATGAATGCAAGATACAGTAACTGTATTGGTCCAGTCCTGCAGAACATTTTACTAAGCAGTATGACAGTCTTATCTGTACAAGGAGCATCTCTTCAAATCCGCTTCTCTTCCACATCATCCGCCTCTGTCTGTGAGAGTAGGATATGTGCCCCCTCCCCATCAGCAAAAGTAAAGAAAACATCAAATAATCAAGAAAAAAATACAATACATTTTTCCCCTTTTGATGAAAATGTTTTTCTGTTTCTGAGTTGTTGTTTTTTTTTTGTAATCTAATACTGTTTAAAAAGCTATCAGCTTCAAGATGGCCACTGTAGGCATGATAATATTCCAGAACACTTAAATAACAGTTTTTACAATAAATTTAGGTCCATATTATTAGATTACTTTATATGCACGGGTCTCTCATCTGATTTTAGACGTTTTCTACGTGGTTGTATAAAATCTTCATCGGAGTCCTCAGTTATTTCACCATCATCCTCTTCCTGCTCAAATTCAGGCAAAGGCTGGAAGGTCCTGTCTGGGTAGATCTCTGTAAGTTTATCTTCAAAGTATAATGCAACTGCCTTCCCTGCCTGTGCTACTTCTGAATCAGCCTGCGAACAAAAGAAGACAGGAATATTCACCTGTTGGAAATGCACATCCCTTCACCAAGTGTGCATGGTCTGAAACGCTTACCTTCAAATTAATCTCTTGTGTTTCTGCATAAACTTGAACAACTTTCATCATCTAAAAAGGATACCAGAGTCAAAAAAAATGAAATCATAATCCTTTCCAAAGTTATGAGATTGCATAGGGTTGGATGACTAAAGTTAGCCATAACAAGAAAACAATTTGTTATGGACTATACCTCTTTAGTTCTCAAACTCAGTGGAAGCAGGATTTAAACAGTCTTATTAAGAGTAAGACACAGAGTAAATGAACCTTTGACAAAACATACAACTCTTGTACAAATAATTTGCTCCCCATCACTTTTAAAATTGCACTCTGCTCATAATTGCTTTATTCATTTTAAAGTTTAGTTGACCAGACATTACTGTGGAAAAGTCTCATTTGAATTTCAACAGAGAAGACCTCTGTAGGTCTTTGCTATAGAAGACTACTTTCTTGGGGTGTTTATCCCACTTGGATTTCTACTTTGATAAGAGCATGTAGCTCAGAGGCACTAGGCCTAACTCGGCTATGAGTGGTCCAGTTGCCTCATCTTTTGCCATCAGCCAGCACTTCAAACAGTGACATAAGTCTAAGACACCTTTTTAAACATATCCATCAGTCTTTGCTCTCGTTTTGCTTTTGTCCCTAAGAGATGCAGCAAGTTTTCTTGTACAGTAGATGCTTCATTATTTTCCTTGATTGAGAAGGTCACATAATGCAACTTTTTCCACAGTGCTCATTAACCTCCACCTAATACAGAGACATAAGGATTTGGCGGTATCAAATTCCCAAATGCTTGCAAACACAGCATACAGCATCACATTCTGAGATGTATTTAACCTTGATTTTTATCAGCATACTTGTGAGGCAGTTGAGATTTTAAATGTTGGTTTGTGTACTTCCTAAAAATTTACCTCTTTTGAGAGCCAGAAATGTTGCCCAAATATTGCAAAATGCCAGTTATATTTTACAGAGAAATGCTGGCTATTGTATGCATTTCTAAGATCATCACAAGAAAGCCACTCCATGCAATGCCTTCTTCTGGACTTTTTATGTTTTTGCCTTAAGGAATCTCAGAAACCACGACAATGAAGTTTACTTCAAAGACTACTGTTTCTGATAATTTTTTTTCTGATATTCAGAGTATTTTTTTTTATGTTGTTTTACCTAATAACAACACTCAGGTAGCATATCTCCTTGAGTCACATTTCATATATTAGTACGATAAAATATGTGAACATCAGATGAGTTCAACGCAAAACAGGGCAGCTTCCACAATAATCAAAAATACGAATCCATAAACAAGCCACCTGTTGAAAACGAGTTTTGGTGAGAGATTAGCTATTCATGAGCTAAAGCACTAAGCTTGTAGCAAGTGCTGTAACAACAGGATATCCTTCAGAAAAGCATTTGTTCCAGTACAGAGTTTTTTCAATGGGTATCTGCTCTATTTTATCAGTATAAGCACAGTTAACCATCTAAGTTGAGATAGTTTTAAGGACTACTTGACTATCTTTTTCATCTAAGCACTGCCACCATCTGTTCGATATACATCAACATCAGTATGGTATGATGAACATCATATCTGTTTCTCAGTCACATACCAAAACCAATGAATATAACCTATTGCTGAGCTGGTTTCCCAGCATGAATAAATGTTAACAGTCTCCCTATTGAAGACTGATCTCCTCATCTAGCTAAAACTGAGCTAGTTCTGTAAATATGATGCACTTTTTAAAGCATCTGTCTAAGCATCTGCTCCATAACACAGAAGTTTAGATCTGAAGCATAGCCTCTACATAGAGAGGCTACGGAGTCAACTGGAAATAGGTCCTTTGTTTTGTGTTGTTTTTTAAGAAAGAGTATACAGATTGAAAGTTAACATACTTCATTAAACCTTTCACAGTTCTTGAAGATCAACCGGACATCTGCCACAAAATCTTCAGGAGTTTGGTAATGTTGAGAATGTTTCTTTTGCAGTTTCTTTTTCACTGTAGATAAATCCATTGGTTTCTTTATAATTTTATAGTAGTTTGGTATCTGTGAAGACAAACAATGCTTTACTACAATGGCTACATAGTTCACTGAAGTAACTGAATTTCTCTACTTATCAAAATAGCTATCAGCTGATCTTATCATGCACTGCATGCATGTTCATTAAGTGGGAACAATGTATTTTCCTCAAAGTGTTTAAAGATTTCTTTCCCACCTTCATTGTCTATCATAGCAGAGAAAAGTTTTTCATTATAGTTACTTTTCTTACAGCTGAAAATAGAAGAGTCAAGGCAGTTCCTTTCTTGCTTTCACTCCAAAACTTGACAAAGAAAGTTCTCCCAAAGCCTCTTGTAACATTTAGAATTTCATGAGTATTCTGAGTCATCCTCTTCCTATTCAACAACTGCTAATTTGAAATATCTTTAAACAAGCGGGTTTAAGATTGGGAGTACAGTCTCTGGACAGCGAAGCTACAGAATCAGATACTCTGAAGTATGGTGAAATACTGAACGACCACCAGAACTTTTAAACTGGACAAGCAGGACATGCTCCAAGCAAAAGCATTTGACTCCCTCCCAAAACAAAGTCCCTCATGACTCTAGCCTTTTAGATGCTGTGCCAAAAAATAAATCACAAACTAGTATGCAAAAGCAGACTCACCGAGGCTGGAACTGGCTCTTGAAATTCAATGCTCAGCTCGTGACAATACAGGTAAAGCAGGAGACGTTCACATTTCTTGCATACAAATAAATAAAAAGCTTCAAGTTAATATCTTTATTTATTGTCACCTCAGAAATAGATATTTCACTGCTTTAAGTAGTAGAAGCGTGTTACCAGAAAATTCAGTCTTCACGAGTCTATTTATAAAAACATCTTAGTTCTTATGAGGATGTTATTAATGTGAAAAACAACAAAACAAAGCTCTGTTCAGACAGCAGATATATTCCCTTTATGCTTTCTTCTAAATCAAAAATCTATGGCTTAGAATTCAGAAGACTACTAATAGACTATCAAATTAAAAGAAAAAAAAAAAAGAAAGAAAGAAAAAAAGAAAAACACTGTCCGAGCGAAACATGCAGTTACAGGAAAGGACTGGGTTAAGGACATTTTTTCCCCCATGAGACTAAATTTAACAATATGAAAAGAAATCTGAAGTACTTCTACAAGTTTCCTTTTAAAATATTTTTATTTCATTTGCTTGGAATTCCTTTGGAGGAATTTGATTTGATAACACTCCAACACTTTTTTCACAGTCTGAATGATAAATCTAAAAGTAATTCTAACAGTCAAGGTCATTATACCTTCTGCAAGAATGCACCTAAATATCTCTAGCACCCTTCACAGTATGAACTTAGTTCAACAAACCTACAAAACTACTTTTATTATACGTTTAGCGTATCAACGTTAAACGAACAGAACTTCTAAGAAAGAACATTGAGGAGATTAACGCATATTAAAGCGTGCATTTAAATATAAAATATATGTTTATATGTGAGTTTTAATCAGTAGATGATTACGGTTAATAAGGGAGCACTCACACAGTCACTAAGACCTAGTTATGTAGTCATATCAAGGTGATCTTATTATTTATTTGGTATTTTTGCTAAAGCCACAGTCATATTCAATTTGCTGCAGTCAGGGTAAAACCATCTTCAAGAACCAGCTGAGGACAGTTAATTATAGGAACTTGTTTTTTTTTCTTAAGAAGCTAATTCCCAAAGTTTTGAGACATACCCTTTGGTCCATAGGACTGAGGCCTTGTGCTGTTTTCCCTTTCTTACTGTGTTGAGAATTGTCACAATCATATTCTACCTCTGGCTTACTGAGGTCTCTGCAGAACGTACATATCCACTCCCCACTAGAAAGAAACAAGCACAATTACTCCAGGAATCCAGTTAGGAAGCCACACCAGAAGATTTGGATTTATAACACCAAATTGTAAGCAATAAGACTCAAGGCAATTCTTTCAGTCACAGTTTTTTCTCCTCCCCTCGTATTCCTCTCCCAAATACGTTTAAATACTTTCCAACATCTTTATCACTGTGACTTTAATAATGAACTTTACATAACAGAAGCACACTTTGAGAGCTCATTTGTTTATCAAATAAACTGTAACCAATCAAATACAAAACAATCCAGGCATACCTTTAAAATGTCTGATTTTTTTTACTGATAAATATCAACGCAGAACTAGACAGTCTTGAGAACGAAGCATCAATTACAGTATTATGTTGAAACCTACCATGTGAATGAGACCATAGAGCTGTTCTAATGAAACTATTACACTTCAGGGTTTCTGGTACCTTGGAAAGCTGAGGAGTGTTGGTACATGACAAGTCAGATGAAACACTTTGGGGCACTTTTCACAACATAATAGGTCCCCTCCATTTTGGCATACAGCACACCAGTCTTCATTTGGATCATCCTCTTTGTTATTGCCTTCTCCTCCAGTTCTAGCTGACCGATGCATTAGACTTCGCACCGGAGATTTTCCATTTACAAGGTTATGTCCAGATTGTTTGCAACTTTCATTTAATTCTGCTGGTTCAGTTTTCACATGATTTTCCAGACTTCCTAAGGCTTCCAGTTCACTTTCCAGATGCAAATTAGTTGACAATGGTGGTGTCATGCTGCTCTCAGGACTGCTAAGCTGAAAAAAAAAGTAACACATAAAAATATGAGAAGGGATCAGTTTTACAAGGGCATCTTTCCTCACATGCTGGAAGTCAAAAGCTGCCCACTGTTTACTGGCACTACAGGTACTGCCCAAAATAACTCGCAGACCATACTGAACAGTGGAGTTGCACACAACATAAAAATGATATAAAAAAAATCACTTTGACGAACAGACTCATTTCTAGTATGTAGCATGATGAACAAGCCTTTAATCGCAACACACCAATAAAAAGTCAATACGTATCTCTACTGCCACTACGAAAAGTCCTTAAGTTCCTCACCCTGCTCCCAGTACACAATCCCATTATATCGAACAGAGCTGGGAAGCACCAAAATACTCACTTGCATAAATATTTTAAAGAACTGTGAAAGTGCCAATGACAGGCCTGCTCTGGAATGAGAAATCTTGACTGACCAGAAGATTTCTGAGTATAATTACATAGACAGAGTGTTCAGTAATTCCTGCTAACAATGGATTATTTACAGGTTTCATTACCTAGGGATTAAAAACAGCAACAAACTACACAGTTGGGGGTATGTTATTGGAACAAAGACAAAATTTACATGGCCCTATCCTGTATCTAGCAGAGTATAATGAATAAATATGATCACATTCTAAACGTGAGACAAACGGAGATCAAGTTCTAACTTTTTTTCCATTGGAGTACTTTCAGCACGCAATGATACATGAGGGTACCTAAGATTTGCAAGGATTGGGTGCCTTTTGCATTTATGTCACTGGTTCAAATCCTGTCCAAATTAACAAGAGAGACATCATTTAATCCTCATTTGTCTGACATAAGTTAGCAAGCAATGGTCCAGGTCCTGTTTTCCAGCTTAATGCTACTTATGTCACGTAACTGTGCATAGCTAGCAGCCTTAATAGTGCTACAAAAATAAAGCTCGTTACTGAAGCTGACCTATGCTTAAAGTTCAGATACACTACCCACGGACCAAAATACCTTCCAGTCTTCAGAGCTGTTAATAGAATATGAGATTTAGGAGTAGAACTGCTTTAGGATTTCCAAACTCCTCTATGTGCTAGTAGGAACACCATCACATGCCGTTTCACAAACGAACTTTACCATGCAAGCGCTCCTTCTGCCATCCTCTGTTTTTTCCTGTTTTACTGTTCCTGAGAAACTGCATAATTCTTCCTCTGTTCCTGGCTCCTGCTTGACTTTCACTTGGTCAGACTTGAAGTTCATGTTAGTTTTCTCAGCATTTCTTCCTGAGGAGCCACAGCTAGAAAGGTATCACCACATAAATAGGATGAAAACTCATTAGAATAAAAAAGTTAAACATTGCAAAGGTAAACAATGTCCATTTCTTTAGAGAAGAGTTTTATTTTACAAGGCAGTGGGGAGTCGTATTTTGTAAAAAAAAAAAGACTATGTGTAAGGTTTCTTCAACTACTGGGTTGCAACAAATCCCTCTTGATCTGTTGCCAATTTATTTTTGAATTATCCATCTTTGATTTTCAGCTTGACAATATTGACTGTTAACATACTAACCTTCCTCTGCTACCTGTGCTGGAAGTGCTAGGTGGTCTCACAGGAGTGTGGGAGTTGGATAAACCTGAGAAGTACAGAAATTTACATATCTTAAACATTGCATTCATGTGCAGGCAGTTTGTCACTATGAATATGTTTCTGAACAAAGGTGAAATACAAATTCCTGAAAAAGACTTATTTTGTGAAAAAAAAAGTTTAAACTAACAAAATATCATTATTCTTAATGCAGGAAGTAGTAGGTATTATATTAAACTGAAAGATTAGCAGTACCTATCATACTCTTACCTGATGAGCCTGGAGATAGCGCTGAAGGTCCTGGGGAGGGATTCAGGGTACTTGTAGGTTGCGGGGGTAGGTGGCTCCCTGAAATATATCTACTTAGGAGGTTATCTAAATTATTTGAACCAGCATCTTCAAGCTATAAAAAACAAAAACACAAAAATTCTGAATCAGTTAGGTGGAAGTCTGCTAATATTTTTACATTAGTAGTTTCACAGTATTGCACATAACCGTAGCATCAGGCAACTTAAATTCCAAATAAATGATGATTGAAAGTCTTTGAAAGACATAACAATTTAACATAGTGATAAATTCCCACACAATAGACTTGTGGAAAAAAAAGAACAAGTGAACATAATACTTAGGGTGGATTAATTTAAGTTTTACTGGTGTAACAGTCATTAAATGCTGCTTAATCTAAAGCCTAGCAAAGGCTGAGCAGATTAGACCCATATGGCCAAAGAAGCTGCAAAGAAGCCCAAGGCAAGGACTATAGATTTTAATTCTTCTTTGACTATAAACAATAAATAACTACACTACTCTACAGAAAAATACTGTTATCCAAATTAAAAAAAAAAAGTTATAGAAAGAAAGCAGATCACCTACAGCAAAAGTACCCATTCTTCGCTACTGACCTGGATGGGTGGGATATCTGGCAGGGATGGTAAATTCTCTGGGTTTGTTACAGAGGGAATGAGTTCAATTGCTGTAACAGATGGACTTGTTGGACCACGGTTTGCATTTGCCATTGTTGCTGTAGTAGGACTAGTTGGATTAATAGTGGTATTGTGCACAGAAACAACTGGAAAAGGCCCTGCATGCCCAGGGTTAGAATGCTGTAAGAAAAGAGACCATGATTGCATTAGAGACATAGTAGAAAGCTGGTCCTCACACAGAACAGCAAAACTGAGTCCTCAAAAACTTTTTTTTTTAATATAAATTCAGTTTTGCATAAACATAACCTGACAGCTATCTAGATTTATATGAGAAGAAACCAATTTATATAGCTAGATGTTTACATATACAGTATAGATTTCTCCCATTCTTCTGTTGAATTATTTTCCTGGATAGTTCTATTTTCATGGCATAATTATTCCCTCCAAAGATAACTTTAGACTCCATATAACTATGTATAACCTTTTTTAGAATAGTTACAGCACATTTTTTTTTAAATCTTATTCTCCAATCAATCATATTAATTGTGGGGAATCTTTATTTTTAACGGTAAGCAATGGTAAGATACGTCATGCTTCAGGTTTGAAGTTAAAACATGTAGAATTAGGTTTGATTAAAGCCCCTAAATTACTTCGAACTTTGCTATTCCTGATCGCTCCTCAAGAAACCCAAAAGCTCAATGCCACTGAAAAATGTAGAATAGAAATGTTCTGTTTCGTAGGGCTAAAAAACAATAGAAGTACGAAAACCATTCTTCGTTTTTAAAGTTTGAACTTTTTTACATTGAGGAAATATCTTACATTCCAGTATGGATAGGAAAACATACATAAATGGATGTAGCTGTGAAATGCAAGGGTTACAGATAAGTACATTTAAAGCTGGGGGGATCATCTATTTTAATGAAAGCTTGGCACAATGGCACAAATGAAGCGTGTACACAGGATATACTTGTCTTTGGAGGTGCGGTTGCATCATGGAGTATTGTGGTCCACTGTGGCGTGGTATTCCTGGTATACGAGCAGCATTCTGAGCCATTCTCATCTGATGTGCTTGGAAAGCCCCACAGTTCATGTTACCCCTCTGCATGGTCTGCATGCTGATCAACCTGGGAGGCTGCAAGGGTTTTTATTTTTTAAAATTCTTACTTGTAACATGGAAAAAAAAGAAGGCAATCTCTCTCCACAGTAGTAGATTTACTAATTTATATAACATCAAGAAAATCCAATAGTTGTCATATTTAAAGCATGTTAAATTTCCTAGTATTTTCAAGTTTATAAACTGCTTTGTAAGTTTATATTTGACAGGGCAATTTTAAGTTGCAGTATTATGCTGAAATATAAAGAAAGAGCATACAATAAACTTGCCTGCTGCTGTAAGATTTGAGGACCCGTTTGCCTGGGAACTGACCCAGCTGGCTGTCCCATCCTCATCTGCTGCAGTTGCTGATGTTTTTGTGCATACACCTGCTGCTGCATATGCTGAAGTCGCAGCTGTGCTAGATTTATTTGTCCTGGAGTTTTGTTGACATGGTTTGTTCCTGGGGGAGACTGTCCAACTACTACATTAGGAGTGTAACTAGGAGTTGGCTTGTTTTCAATAACAAGATTACCTAAAGAAGAAAACAAAAAAGAACTAGCTAGCGAGAACTTACATGTCCACCTTCATTTGTCAAGGTTGACATATGAAGAATATCCAAATGCTTCTAATGCAGATTACAATTTGTTACAAAACAAATTAAGATTGTCTTCTGAAGTCTCTATAACTACACATGAGAGAAAGTGAAAAAAACTATTTCAAAAACATGAAGAAAAACAAGAATCAAAGAACTAAAAGCAGAACCTGCAAGGAAGACTAAAAGAACTGATACTGCATGGCCTGAAAGACAGCTTCATGCTTTCAACAAGTAGTTCTGTGGAACAAAAAATTTCAACAGGTAAGAATAGCAGCAGTTGGTATATTTGCAGACAGTCCAGAAGGTCCCATCACTGAAAGACTCCCAAAACAGCAGCCCTTCCTTGATAAAACAGGATGGTCCATATTGCCTAAGGATGTCCAGCTCTCTTTTTAAAAAGTTCCTCCCTGGTTTCTGGTCAATGTCTGATGCTCCATTCTTGAAAACCTTGCCTTTTTTTTTTTTTTTTTTTTTTTTTTTTCCTTATTGGAAAGAAAATTGTTTGAAGGACCATCCACAAAGGAAGTACACACAAAACATCAGAAAAAGCTCATCTTCTTAATGCTAGCTTTCTGTTAGATTTATATTCAACAAAAAAGTTGGCAAGCAGCTGCCAACTGATATCTCTGTCCCACCCCACTCTCCCTACTCTAACTCATCTCCTTTTCTTCCCTCATTCAAAAGCTGTCCCTCAAAAAGCATAAATTAGGTGATCAATAAGAAAAAAAACTGTGACATTGCACTCCTGCAGGACAAGCCCATAATAAACAAGTTATGTAATTAAGTACTTAACTTCCTTACGTGAGCACATCTTATTAGTACATCTAACAACTAAGCTACGTACTGTAATCATAACTCTAAATGCCCAGTGATGTCAGTTGTCATTAAGAATTCATACAGAACAACTCCTCCAGCTATCTTCTCTTATCAAAACTATCACCAACTCATGCCTTGGGGCAGAGAAGGAGTAAGTGGTAGCACTGAGAAAGCAAACTGAAAATGGAAGAAGTTACAGATACAGTGCCCTAATCTACTGCGTAGCAATTGCAAGCAACACCAACAACCACACAGGAACAACAGCTTAATTACTACTGGGGGCTTTATTTTACCGTTATGGAAGTGTTAAGCATCACAGAATATCAAACTATTTAAAAGTGGTTTGCTTATTCACTTACCTTGCCAGTAATGGCACACACTGGCTTGGAGCCATGAACTTAATTAAAACAACTCTTGATTTAGCCACGATTGCTCATGCCTTTTCAAACATATTAAGACATTGAGTACTATTCCACTTGTAGCTAAATAGGCATCCATAGGCAAAACTGATTTTAATGAGCCATTTACCTGCCAAGAAAGCTCATTCCACAAGTGCTCATATAGTACAGTTTAACTATTCCAATAACGTTAAAATATTAAAAAAAAAGAGGACTGCTTCTCTAGGGACCGAAACTTCACTGGAGCAAGCTTTGCTAACAGAATAAACCCACTGGATGGCTTATCTCAACAAGAGAGTTTAACTTTTCTACATTAATATGCTTTTCTACATATAAACACACAATTTCCTTACCTAAATTGACGACGTTTTTTGCCCAGAAAGTAGGATCACAATGGAAGCGTATTGCTCCATTGGCAGCTGGGACAGGATCACAACGTGCCTTTAAAATATGACGCAACTGGAATGTTATCTAGTGGAAAGCAAAAACAAGACTGTTGATGAAAATGAAACAAAGAATGAGAATGACAGCAAGTGTGCATTTTGTCCAGTGAGTCTAGACTGCTGGACCACCAACAATGACTTTCAAAAGCCACTTTGGCACACACCCTGGAAAGTGCCCAACTCACAAAAAAAAAAAATCTACCATACAACTAAGATTTTAAATGAAGGCCAAAGATTAAGAAAGTACTGCTACTGCACTGACTTTATTTCTGCACTGACTCAGGTTAAAAGCTGAAATGTCCTTATGGACCTGAACCGTAGTCCTTTTGTGACAGAACTCTAAGTCCTTAGTTTACAAATAAGAACATAGTACGTTAGCCAATTCATTCCATTATTACAGTGCTTATTAAATGAAGGAAGAACAAGTCATTGCCTTTTCCTTAGATATAGCCTAGTAAGGTTACAGATACCTAAGATATTCTTTTGACCAAGCATTTTCCAACTGCACAGACAAGTTAGAAGATCTTTCCTTACCAGTCGTTTACTATACAGCAAGGCAGTACTGCTGCCACTTGCAATGGCCCAATTAGTAAAGTTCATCACATGCTTCACTTGCCGCGAAAGACCAGTGATGTCATTTTGTTGTTGTATTAACTTCATCTGTCTCTCCTTTGTTACATTCTACAAAGAAATTAAAAATTACAATGGGAGCTTCAGATTTTAAAAGAAAATGCAGACTACTATGACAGTTATTACAAGGGAAAAGGATATATGTCTCCAGCAAAACTGCCTATACCGATGCTTACATTCACAACAGCAAGAGTTAATAAATTATGTCCTTTCCATAATTGTTCAGATAGGTGCCAGAGCAGCTTTGCTTTGTGCCAAGAATTTCTCAACTCCTAAAGACACCAACTCACTCTTTGTCACGTTACCAGAGCATGGCAGCAGGACGAAGAGCAGCGAGGGCATCGCAAAGCCAGGCACAGTCACACTCCCAGCTTGGTGCTGCATGGGGCCCTGGCACTCCTGCAGCTGCTGCAAGAGCTGCAGAGCAGCAGCCGGGAGACAAACAGCAACAAAGCCAGCCAGGCACCTTGAGGAACCTGCTTCCCCAGTAGAAACTGCCGCTGCCCGCCTGCTGAACCCGGCAGATAGACCCTGCAGCCCTTCTCTGAGGAGCCTTGGCCTTTGATAACTTGGCAACTCTAAATCTTGCACTAGAAAATTGGGCTGCAGTACTCAAACCTCAGCATTTAAATAGCAATTCCTGACTGGGCAGTTGTAATGATTACACACACACAGACCCCCACACACAAAACAAATGCAGGGAACTGCAACAAATGCCAGGAAATCAAGAAAAGTCAGAATTCAGTTGCTTATGTAATTTAACATTTGTTAGGTTTGTAGTCCTAAGTTTAATTTTACATAGATTTGAGAGAAAAAAAAAATAGAGACTATATAATTTATTCAGAACATGCTACGGGGGAAGTATGTTTAAAGTCATTGACTCCTTCAAGATGTTAATATCTTATACAACTTAAAATAGCATCATTACACCTGTATGTACAGATAAGGAAGACAATATCACAATATCATGCCTTTGAATCCAATACCTAGTTGTACTTTAAAAGTCAATACTTGTTAGAAGTTAGCATCAGTTTTGAAAGCTACTAAAGATAAAAATCCCCCAAACCCCTATAAGGATTACAACAATCTTAACAGCAAGGCAGCCAACTTGACATATGATCAGCAATGAAAACTAATACTAACCTAATACTAGCCTGCCAGTTTTCTTGCCCTTTCTCTGCATAAAATTCTTATGTTAGAGCAGGCCAAAACATTATTCCTATTTTTAGCATTTTAGCGACATATTTTTAACATTTCAGATAGATATATATCGGTGCCTTTCAAAGATAATCACAATTAAAAAAAAAAGCTCTAAGTCCTCATGCCAAAAAGAATCTATTCTGACCAAGCTCAACCATTCCTTGCATTTGACTACTATTTTTTCTGTTTCCAAAGGTGAGTAGGAATCCATTATAAAACAGTGCAGCAAGTAACATATTCAAGATGGCAACACAGCACGTCATCATATGAAGTGAAAGAAGAAACCTTCCCTAGACAGAGCTTATGATCATGAAGATCTGTCTACATTGTTTTATAGCCATTTGAGCACTAGTGCATATCACAGGCCATTTTGGGGTCCTGCTGAAGGCTACCCATGTGACAATAAAGCAGAGTGAGCCTGTAGCGACACACTCATTTAATATCTGAAAGGTCCGTGCTGTTGTCCCATCCTTTCCTGAGGCAACAGCTTCTCCGGGACACAGAGCCCTGAGGGAATAAACCTGCTCAAATGAAAATTATTTAAGCAAAGTTTTCATCAAGATCAATTTCCCATTGGGTTCTCTAAGCAGCTGCAAAAATACTGGTGTCTACACAATGGGGAAGGAAGGAATCAGCACTTATCTCCCCCTTCAAAAGCAGAACAGGCAGGTACTAGATCAAAATCATCATGTAAATATAACTTTGAACTCAAACTGGATTAGGAGAAAGCACAGAAAAGAAAAGCTTTAGGAAGTCTTCAGAACTAGCAAACATCCCCTTTGCTGCCACCACACTGCATAAGCAAAAGAGGAGAAACTTATTTTAACTAGCTAAAAAAGCCTACAGAACAAAGAATGATGTAAAGTTGCATCAAATTGTCTGCATCAATTTGCTGTTGCTCAAAACTAAGCATATGGACTTGTCTCTTAAGAGTTTACACTGAAAAAAAGCTTCTAGTTAAGGTTTTCAGGAAGACACAAAAGCAAGCAGCTCAAATGTTACAATGCTAATGTATTTCTATGAACTTAAATTTTTACAGACCTCTCACAGGTACATTATAACACAGAAATCTGGCAAACAGAATGAAGGAATGAGATTTTCATACACTCCTTTCCAATGAGTCTGATTTTGTACGAATCAGGCATGGACATAAAAACTAAGCAAACCCTAGGCCTTAGACTAAGAGTTAAATGGGAGACAATTCAAAGGATACACCACTCCTGGACAGTATCAGTATTGCAACACCTACAGCCACACCAAGCAAACTGTTCTCAAATACGGAATATGATTTTTTAATAGGGGATTTGAAACAGTGAAAAACACTATTTTTTTTTAATCTTAACTGTACCTCAAGCTGCTGTAAGAGAGATTTTCCCTTTTTATTGATTTCATTGATGAGGGTGAATATAGCCACTTTGATTTCCTGTTCTACTCGTTTGTTAGTTTCATTTACTTCTTTTATCCTAAAAAAAGAGAAATGTATTATCAGGCAGTCATTTTATACTATGCCGCCAAATACTAAACACCGCAGGCATCTTCCCACCCTTGAAGAGTGAAGGAGCAATTTCTGTATTGATGAAACTTTGATAAATGCAAAATTGATAGCCTGTTTCATTTCTAATATAGAAATGGATATTAATCATCTGTTTTGGAAGAAAACATCTAAAATTTCAGCTTTGGGGAAAAAATGAATAGTTTGAGATCAAGTTGATACCTCAATTACAACTTACATTTTACTTGAAATAATACAAATCAATCCTTCTGATTTATTCATTTATATATACACATATATACATACACAGAGCAAAGACCACCTATGTGAGTGCATACACGTGTATATGTGCATATGTATATTTGCCTCCATATTATTAGCGTCTTCCACTACAAAGAATTAACTTACAGTGTCTTTAAATTTTTATACTACTACCTATTAACTAGAGATAAGATAATCCTGAACTTAAGATCAACTTCTGCACTCTCAAAAATATTTAAAATAAAGTTTATTACATATCTATGATAAATGCACAATATGGGTATTAGCTTTTTGCTAATCATCTGCCTAATGTTAGTTTACACTATTCTCGTACTTTATCACAATTGCCTTTCAGTTTTAACACCTCATACTTTTTCATTGTCACTTTCTTCACTTTCAGTGTTTTCACTATTCTCAATCTTTTCAGACTCAAATAAATCATCTTCAGTTCTGTCCACAGAATCTGAAACACAGTATGTCTTAAACTCTACTGCAAATTCTGGATTTATCTGATCCAATGCTATCTCTAATCCAAAGACAATTAGCATTGCATCGGGATTCTTTGCTCTGTTTATAGAAGTCAGAGCATAATCTCCCACCAGGATTCAGTTTGAGTATAAAGCTTCAAAATATTCTTTAAGGGCTTGTTACTACATCAAGCATCCGACCTTGTGACGTATGATCACAAGTCCAACGCTCCCTTCTCTCTGATGATCTTCACTGCTGGTGCCAGATGCCCTTTAAAAGCATCTAGGACAAATGTTCTAGTGAAAGCACACCTGGTCGTCTACTCCAAAACAAGCATTCAACACCTGCTTCATTAAGTCAGTAGATATCCATTCCTGGTTTTGGTACTTAACTGTTCCAGTAGGCAGTTGTTCCTTCACCATTGTTTTACAGCTCAAGACCACATATGGTGGCAATTTCACACCATCTACAAACACCACCAACATTACTGTATTACAAATCTTTTTATTCCCCAAGGTTTTTATGATGATTGATATTCTGCTCCTCTCTTCAATGGTGTAATTGAATAACATGCCAAAGTAAACTGTTATAACCACTTGCACTGTCTGTTTGGTTTAGCTGATAATCATGATCTTTAAGCAATTCAACCCTATACTCAAGGAATTCACTGAGTTTTTGGTGAAACTAGAACTCAGATCTTCACAGGGTAAACATTACTATGTTTTATTCATAAACACCAATCATTACTGGCCTTGATATCTTGACACAGATTTTTCTGGTATTTCTTGAGCTTTCACAATTTAATTATTTCCCATACAATTGGGTTTCTGTCTCTTCTTCAAATATGCATGAATCCAACGGCTTGTTCTCCTAAATTATGAGCTGCTTCTTTTGGGTTCACTGAATAAGATCCATGTGAAATCAACACAGAAAGGCTTCTGTTTTCATTCCTTCCATCTTCACATGTTTGCCTCTGTTACATCATTTGTCTTTCTAGCCTCACAACTAGCATGCTTATGCTACCACTAGGAGTTAAAAATTTGCATGAAAACTTCTCTTATACCATTTTTTGCTACCTCCAGGTGATGTCATTTGCAAATGACTTAAGATGACAGTTTTATGAACATTCTGCCAAGAATCACAGAGGAATTTCCTGATCTCCAGATACCACAACTTCATGAACATCTGAAAAACCATCAGTGATCACATGTTCTCACTATGTCCATGTTCAAACTTCAGGCTGTGTGGAGCATATCTGTGCTCCTTCATAGATAAGAGGGCTCCCACACCAGTGTCACATTACCATATTGGCCCCCAAAGATGTCCCTGAATATAACCTATCTGTTGAATTTTTAACTAAAAGTAGCTAGAGGAAAAAAAAAAAAGTCTTGTTTTCTTTTCTGGCAAATACATAAATTTGCTTGCCTAATTAAAAATAATCAAATTCTCTGTTAAATTTCAAAGTTTTACACAGGGAACAAAAACAGTGAGCCTTTCAAATAAAACATAGGCATATCTTTTTAAATGGCCAAAACATCTATCATCCAGAGTTGAATTTAGCAGAAATCATAGCAGAGGTTTAGTAGTTTGCCTTCTTTACAAACTGCAATAAATGTCACATCTTTGATTCTACTCAAAGTTGCCTTGACAGACATCTTAGACTTTTATTTCTTTCAACAATATCCCACAGAAGTACAGTATTAAAGAAAAAAATCCAAATGTATTTCACAGTCCTGCATAACTAAAGCTATAGAATCAACTAAAAACTAAGTATTCTAGTAGTTCTGCCATTTGTCTAAAGATGATTCACTAAATGGATAACACAACAGTAACATTAATTAATTTGGGGTACTTACCTATTCTGAACTTGGGTAGCTGCAAAATTTACATAATTCTTCTTTTCAAGAAGTTTGGCCAATAGGTTCTCAATTGCACCCTTCTGGTTCTGGAAAGCTTCTTCCAGAAATTGGTACCTTTTCAATACACAAGAGAAGATATAAATTCCTGAACAGCAATATGCTGAAGTTCCCAGTTTACACATGAAACTGCATTTCCTACTAAAAGCTTGACAAAACTGAGAGAAATATAGAAAATTGAAGTAACGTATCCATATCAATGTGCGAAGTTTTTCATAACTAATAAAATACTTTGCATACGTATTGAAGACTGAACCTTTGGGTATCACTTATGAATACCAAGTTCACAAGAAGACTATGCACTGACAGGATTTTTCAAATGCTTGTGTTGACATTGACAATCAGTTTGTCAAATGGACTGAACAACAATCACTGTATTTATCTACCACTTTAGAAATTTTGCCAGAACTCTTGCTATTGCAAATATACTTTTCATCGTATATTATTTCTAGCTTCTAAGTAAGTAGACTGTAAATTATCTAAACTAGCACAATCTCACAGACTCAGGCTGCAAAAATACAACAGCTTTCTAAAGAATCACCATCAATTCTCTCATCTAAAGCTCAGAATTGAGCAGTGTGCCATGCTGCTACTGAGGTAGTGATCCAACAACCTCCTTTGTTGCGGAGGATTAGGATTACAGGTGACAAGTAAACAGGAGATTAAAATCAATTCCTCTTACCACCTGACATGACTTCCCTTCAATGTGTTACCAAGTTTCATAATAATCTCAATTTTACTTCATGACAGAAGAAGCAATCATTAATACTTTACAATGGTACATAGAAAAAAAAATGTAAGAGATATTCATCTGCAATAAAACATCCTAACAGCAAAGTACACTCCTCTCACAGTAAAGAGAACATATAAGTAGAACAAGATATATCTTTTTGGACTGTTACTCAGCGTCAAGCACACAACAGAGAGATGCAAACGAAGTGGCTAGAAAAAAAGTAGCTATCATATAGTAGTAGGCTGAGCTTTCTGGAGAAATGTGTTTTTAGGATATTTAACATCAGGCCTGCGAAGGAAGAGAGCAGAAACATTCCAAGTTTTTACTCCTTTAATAGCTTTAATTTAGAAGCTAAAGGTTCTTCATTAGGCTGCCCTGGTAATCTGAGTGTACTCAAAATTCTGGAAAAAAATAAAGCTAAATTCAGCATTGCAATAAACTTTCAAGCACATTTACAGGAAAGTGTTATTTAGAAACTGAACAAAAGAATCAGCACTGAAGCAGTTGACAAACTATAATAGAGAATCTATATATAAATATATAACACTGCAAAGCTACCTATTATGCTTTCCGAAGATTCAAACAGCTATACTACAGAGTTGATCAAGGGTAGGAAGTTTTAAGGTATCCTAAGACATTTGGTTTTTTTCTTCTAGTTACTAGGAAGAGAGCAAGCTCCTGACCTATAGCTTCTTTTCACTTGGAATGCTGCAACTTTAAGCCAACTTCCCAAGCAGATAGCTTTATTTTCCTAATAAAGTGGAATAATCTACAATGCTAAACTTCTTGCTAAATTTTTACACAATTTACCCTAAACCGAAGGAACTGCCACATAATAAAATACAATCTCTAAGAAATTACCTCATCTGTGAGTCACTGCATCCCCTTTACTTTTTCACAGCACCTGGTGTTCAGGGCTGTAGTAATTTCCATTTAAATGTTTTATTTGCATCCTCAGTAGAGTGACAGCACTAACAAATGCCAGGCAAGTGAACGTGTTAATCATGACAAATTGTATCAGACCACATTGCTCTGAATGAGATCTAAGGTGCCTGACATAGCTCAGCCAGTTATTACTCTCATTGCTTTCAGCACCCAACTCCGACTCTCTCTCCCAAAGGAGCATTTCAGTTTGAGGAGTAAATACAACTGTACTTAATGAAACAACTGTGTAAAATCAAGGTCATTTCTTTTGCTGAGGAAGTGCATCACAAGTGCAAAGACAAGGTTATATATGTACCTGTGTTCTTTGTGCTCCAGTAACTGGCAGTCTCTGCATGTCAGCCTGTCACATGTTTCACAAAAAAGTTTTAATTGTTCTTGTTTGTGGACAGGACAGAAGACAGGACGTTGACCAGATGCTCCCACAGCCTCTGTTTTAAAAATAAGTCATTTTTGCATTTTAAAATTAAGAGAATTTAAAGAGCAACACTGCTAATTTCAAAATTAAAGTAACAACAAGGAATTCAGATAAAGCTATGAGTTACTGTAAATATATTTTTAGCAAATTATTTTCAGTGCCAATGGTTTATAGCTGTTTACAATTTTATTCAGAGGGAACAAAGAGTTCTTCTCCCTATCAGAAATGCTGAAATGACAATGGCACCTCGTAAGAATGCAAGAACTGTTTCTACTCAACCACTGGACTTGTGTATGCCTGCTAAAAGATTAAATGGCATTCAATTTCACCTCTGACACACTGAAGGATGATCAAATGTCTCTCAAATTTCAGACACCTGAAGATTTTCTAAATTAATGCCACAAAATCTTTACAAACTAAAATATGTCATAAGCAACTGCATTGGTAATTGCAAAATGAACAATAACATTACTAATGCTATAGTTATATCAACTCCTGTTAAACTGGAAAGCTTTTCCATCAGAGTAAATAAATGTCAAAGAACAGTTCTAAAAATTGCCACATCTTCTAATTAAGCTTGTTCAAGCTGGGCAGCAAGGGAAGCAGCTTTTAGAAGATAAAGCAGGTAAGGATTAAAACAAGTAAATATAATTGTCTTCCTGGTATTTGCAAGTATTTTTGGAGTTTGTTGTATCGTGCAAGTTATTGCAAAGAGAGCTCATGAATCTAAAGCTGACACTTATTAAAGGAAATTTAAAGTCTCCAGGGCATCTCATAGACTAAAAACCAAGCAAGGAACAAGGTCTTATCAGCACCTAATAACTGGTCATTCCCTACAATCAGGTGAGGTACTAAGGATCACTATCTGTTAGGTAAGTCAAAGAAAGGCTAAATTCTTTCCATCCTGATTATATGCCTCTGATTCATGCTTTATAAATACCGACCTGATTTTTTTTCTATAAAGTCTGCTGTATTAGAACAGTCATTTTCTGTAGCTCTCCAGTGGGGTTTCTAAAGGTTAAATTGGGCTATATAATCTCGACAGTCACAGTACAGCATTCTTAATGAAAAGCATGTGTAATTTCTCATAATAGCCTGTCATTTAATTACATCTTAATGGGTTATCTGCTATTAGAGGACCAAGAAGTTTAAACTTAAATAGGTGGGATTTATATGAAACATTTCCTAATAAGACATAAAGAAAAGTCTCTCTCAAGATGAAGTTTGTCAGAACAAGTGAAACGAGAATTTTGATGAAGGAAGTTCAACAGTAAACATTTTAACTATTAATATGAATTTCACCAAAAAAATAGCAGAAAGCGGTACAGTGTTATTCTTCTGAAGCATGAGAAAAGCTCTAAATTGTTTTAAATTAATAGAGTAAGACATCAAAATCTCTCATCCTTGGTATGATCAGCCACATTTACTTTGCAGTACCAATCCAACAATAACATTACATTAAGTAAGAATATAATCTTATTCGTATACACTTCTCACCTGTGAGAAAAAGAGAAAAGAGAAGAGAAAAAGATTTTACTACAGGTAGGACTAAGTAATCTCCAAACACTCACCTGAAGATACATCCTCTTTTTTTCTAATCATATGATCTTTAGTAAATTTTACTCGCTGATGAGCTTCTATACAGGTTTTGCACAGCCATTCCCCACATTCCACACAAAACCCAACAGCGCTAGCGTTATCTTCACAGCTTGTACACACCTACAAAATGAAAGAGCAAATTTCCTTCATTCTCCCAAAGAGCATTACTACATATAGAAACACAACAGTACACAAAATTCAGAAACATTGCAAAGTGACATACCTGTTCTGATTTCTCATCAGAGCTACTTGGTGCTTCTGATGTGTCTTTTACAAAGTAGTTATCCACCAGGTCAATCTGTCTGCATTCCTGGCGACATACTGGACATCTGATTACACCAACTGGAGGAAAAAAAAAAAAAAAAAAGTAGTGTGTGGGGGGTAGTTTTTATAATCACCTATTTTGAGAAAATGAATGGGAAAGCCAACACACCAGAAGCAACAATAATGAACAAAAATGTCCACCTCAGCTTACTAATTTCATGTAGGTATGTGAAGAGATGCTACAATGACAACGTTGTCCTTAAAAAAACTGGCATTATCCAAATGTAACAGGTTGTCAAAAAAAAAAAAAGAACACTTTAAAGAATTGGATACTTATAGTTGTGAGAATTTCTACAGCATACTCAGTTGTTCTGTGCATTTTCTGAACCAATACATATCTCCAGCCAAACCCTTTGTTTACCCCAAGCAAATGTCTTCTCATCCCTCACCCCCATTAGACTCAAGACGTCCTTCAAATAACTTTTATAACCAGCTCGTTTTAAGGTAAATGCTGGGGGAAACGTACCCAAGTAGTCTGGTGTGATGCTTGTGAAAACACCAAAGTGTCACCGTGTACTTTCCAACATAACCCCCATCGCTGAGGCCAAGGGAAGTGGATGCAGTAATATGCACTATCTGAAGTCTCCGGCAATTTTTCAAATAGCGTTCTGAAGTGAAAGTGTTCTATTCACACAAGTATAAAGAGTTTCTAACAAAAACTCTTCTTATGCCAGATATATTTGTCTTTCTACATAACCTAAACCAGAGAGTTTGCATATACAAACAGTTTAAGCACTGGTTATCAATTAGATTAGCTCCTTTCCTGCACATTTCAGAAGATACGCTTTGTTATTCTCTGCATTTGCTAAAAGACAGTTCTAAATCCTCAGCTGGGCTGCAAAGCCACCACTAAATGAACCAAAATAACAACAAGAAGATTTCTAGGAACAACTTACACTGAAGATTTTAAAAAATCTATTTACCACTAGCAAGATGATTAACACATTCTTCCTAGAAATGTTACCCAGTCTTAATTCAAGCTCCTATGTATTTTTACCATAGAATTTGGCCACTTTTTAAAAATGAAGCTTTCGAAGGGATCAAGGACTTAGGTTTACTGGGACATTTGGAACACTTTGAAATGTAAAGGTAATTAAGCTTAATTCCTTTGTGGATATTCTGTTAGAATACTAGGTCTTATTTAATAGAGATTAATTACACCGATAGTTAACTAGCATTAATTTTTCCAAGTGCCAAGATTAATGATAGCCTCTTTAGAACACAAACAACTCATTTCAGAACAGCAGCAACAATCCAAGTAAAAAACCCCTCTCAGCAAACCACACATGCTTCAAGTGTATGATGTGAAAAATTACTGGTATTTCACTATCAAATGTGCAAGACTTTTCATTTCTGCAATAAAGACTCCCCCATATGGAGAACATTGAGATCTTCTTCCAAAATTATAGAATAATATAGAGAAGCCATTTACCAGCTGATGTGTATATACCACTGCACAACAGAAATTTCAACCTTTTACCTTTCAAACTATTCCATCTCAAAAAGATCACAGCTAAATTGGAAAGGGGATTTTTAATGCTCTCTCTCTGGTTAATAACATGAAACATGACAGATGAAACAAAGTCTGAGATCTATAATTCCTACTATACAAAAGTCAAGTTTCACAGATTCAAATCACTTCCTATTAAAAAAAAAAAATCTATTTTTGATTTTCAGGTTTTTGTTTCATTTTGTTTGGAGGGGAGGATGGGGGGAAAAGACATCTCCTCATCTCTTTTTTTTTAAACTAGACAAATCACTGAAGGCTTGAGGAAAATGGAATGCTGAAATAGATGTCTCTAATGTGCAGGTCCTGGGCTGCATTCAAACCACAGATAATTTCTCCTAGCCCACGACTTTTGCCCCAAAGAATACACAGTGGGGTGCAAGCAGCAAATGCTGTTCTCCAAGTGCACTTTGCATACAAGATGTGGACAGCGTTGGCACCTTGGGTGTACCCAAACCAGCAGCTGCGTGCATGGCAACAATTAGAATACTGTATTTCAATAAATTGTTTTCTTTCCCACAAGAGCATTTATTTTCACATTAATTATATTAATCGCTATAAAGATAGAAGTCTTAACTTGCTCATAAAAGAAACAGACACAAGTGACTTTCAGAAAGCAAAAAGAATACTTAGTTAAAGGCATCTTTCTATACAAAGAACTCATAGATTTATGCAGTACAGATCACTGGAATTCCAACATTAAACTTATGCATTGTGTTTGTTAGCATTAAACTTCTCTAAATGGATCACAGACCTAAATAAAAGCTTTGCAACTCTCATCCAGCATATTAGATTTCTTTTTTTCATATCTCAATGCTGGTTATCTTCAATGGTAGCTTTTAGAGACACATTTATAGAATTCATGAAGGCAGGACTAGTTTATATTCCCTTCCCAATCCTAATAATTCCTGTAAAAACTTCCTATGTTCTCAAGGACAGCTTCCTGTTATTCCAAAGCTATAAATGAATGCTCTAGAAGTTAAGGGCAGCAAAGTAGTTAACAGTAAAGCAAATGGTTGACAACTGGGTTGTATGTTTCAGATATGTAGTATTTAATTCAAATCCCATGCAGCTCAGTTTCACCTAATGATAAAGACAAAAAGTGCTTCCCTGACAAAAGCACTAGAAGTGCTAAAAAATATTAAGTGAATCAGGTGCAAATCCATGCTCAGGGTTCACAAGGTTTTAAACTACAGTTTTTCTCTGGCTTATTCACAGCATGGAAATAAGTTACAGCTTATTCTAAATGAAGCGCTCAGCTAACATCAAATTTGATTTTTCCTGCCATATACTTGACCAAGCCTTAGCAAGGATACCACAACTATGCCCAAGCACACAAGTGTGCTGTGCCATGCACTGCTGCACACAACATGTGGCCAGAACGGAGGCTGCCAGCGAGCACCACGTGCCTGACCCACACGGAACTGAAACCCCAGGCAAAGAACTGAAGGTTTGCTTGCCCTGGCGAAGGGGGAGCAGCAGAGACTAAATGCACAACAAGTGCAGCACTATTTGAAATTGCTACAAGCCACATCTTCCTTAAATCTCATGCTAGACATTCCCACTTCTTGGCATAGAAAGATTTTAATAAGAATACAGATATGAGAGGCGCATCTATTTAATTCTTTTAATTATATATGATTTAGATAACCAAGCACGCTAAGTTGAAACACACACATCCAAGGAAGTCAGCAAGTGAACAAAATATAATATACTTTGGAGCAAAAAGCAATTTTCTGTTTTTTGTTTGTTTGCTTGTTTTTGTTTCTTTTTTTGAAAACAGAAAAATTGTTAACAAAAAAAAATCTACAACATAATCCAACACCAACTATTAACAGGACACTTCAAAGAACTAGAGCTAGAAGAGCCACACATTCTCTCTACCAAGATAATCTTCTTAAGACTGATTGTAAATAACTCAGTGAGGCAGTGAAATCTCAAAACAACCTATCTTCCCAGGAATAAAAGCAATGAGTGCATAAACAAAAGAGAGTTGCTTTGCAGTATCTTTAATTTTGTAAAATCTCCAACTTAAAAAGAATACACATTTTTCAGGATAGTGTAATACTTAACAGAAGAACGCATTTTCTTTTAGGCTTCTGCTCAATATAAAAGAAATGGTCTAGCTGGAAAGCTGAGACAGCAGACAGTAAGAGTTATCTATCCACCCAAATAAAATGCATACTTCAGTGACCTACACAGTCACTTATATTTTATACAACTGCAACAAGTAGGAAATCACCAGTTACTTCTCATACTATAGCAAACTACAACATTAGAGAAGTATTTTGAACTTCAGCCAGTAATTCTCAGGCTCAGGAATGAAGACCATCTTTCTGTCCTCAACAGGAGCATTTCTCAAAGAAGGAATGATGCGGTGGCAGGGAGGCCAGCATGGACCAGCTGCACATCCTGCTCCAAGCCTCTTTCCCCACTCTTGTCGGTAAGCAGCGCACTGCTGTCAGGGAAGGGTACTGCTACTCAGAGAGCTGCTGTTTATGTACTGATCTTGCACTCAACTCCCGCTATTATTGTCCAACAAATACATATATTTAGTATTTTAAGTACTGCCAACTCATAATGAACAAAACCTGAAAGTAAATTAAGAAAGCAACCAGAAAATATTAAAGAAAAAAAAGTTATTTCAAGGCATCTGTAATTCTTTATGTGTACAGTATCTCCAAAATAGCAGGGAAATTTAGATGCATATAAAGTAGTACACAGCACATGATCGAGCAGAGAGCCTGCAGGTGAGTGTAACCTGCTTCAGGTACAGCTATGGGTAACATTTCCCATTAGTTCATGAACACAGAATTTGCTCAAAACAGGATAAAAAAGCCTTTAAGAACTACAGAATTACATTTAAAAGTTAGGGAAAGTACAGAAACAGCAGAAGTGAAAGTAAAACAAGAATTCCCAACTGTCATAATCTATGCCAGCTGGGAAGGGATCCACAGGACTAAGCAATATGGTACTTCTCTGTATATTCAGAATCTCCATTTTTACCTCATTTTCTTGCAGAATGTTTCATTTGCCATCCAACTGACTGCATTTGTAATATGCAAAAAAGGCTGTCCACAAAACTGCAGTTCCAGTTGGTCAAAGCTTTGCTCCTAAATGACTCACTGGAATAATAAATATCATAACAACTGGACCATACATATCATTACCTACATGTACATCCTGCTCAGGTCAGCTAAAAGTTCTTGATGCACCAATCAAACGCTGAATGCTTATTTCAGTGAAGTACACAATCGACTGCTCTTAAAACGTGTATGACAGGAACTGATATTCCAGTTTATATTTACCTCAAAAGTTGCAATTTAATCTTTTTCCAACATCTGTTCCTTAACAAACACATTCACTTAATCCCACTAATTCCCAGAATATAAACCTAGTTTTGCATATATTGTATTTTTTAATGATGTACCTCATGCACAACACAGAACCTAGAACTTGACAATAAGGACTGTAAGTTCAATCGAATGCTTTAGTCTATTTAAACTACATTCAATATATCATCTCTTTAAAAGTGATGGACCTTCTACAGTCATATCCCAGAGGAACAGGTTTATTTTGTATGAAAGAACCTCTACTAACCCAAGTTAATTCCTCATCAACACACCACTGTGCAACACAGGAAAAGCTGAAGTTGTTGCTAAAACCAGGAAGCTGTCACTGAAAGGTTTCTTCAACTATCAGGCCCAATTAAGAGCGATAAGGCCACCAACCAGGCCCTTACTTTGGTCTGCAGATCACAATGTTAATCAATTTGCTAATAACTCCAGAAGCTTTACAATCTCACCCCCGAGCACACAAATAAATAAGTAAAATCCAAGCCGCGGTTTCAGCAAAAGTAGCTGGAAGAAATCTGCGCCTGTCCCACAGCACAAAAGGTGTTTGTGCAGAGTAAACGGGCAAAGCAAGTAAGTGGTGAGTGAGACTGCAATGTCTGAACTACACACAGAGGAACCCGGAAACAAATCTGGAAGCAAGTGTATTGCACACACCACTTCCCATTGGGCACCTATCCCTGTATCCAGATGTCACTTGGAGACGTGATTCTCACAGGCAGAAACGAGCAGACATGGAGATCGTGGGTATCACCCGTCACGCGGTTCCTCTGGAGTTGGGATGATGAAACAAAACACAGCTGTCTGCACACTGCCCTTCCACGCATGGAGAGCAGCTCCCAGACCCCGCAAGCCGAGGGCTGGCAGCAGAACCGCAACCTACCACGCATGGCCCGGCTGTGAGAGGAGGCCGGCTTGGCCCCGCAGCCGGGCTGGGCCCGCACGGCGCTCACCTTGCTGGATGTCGCCGTTGGCGCCGCCGGGCACGGGCACGCTGAGCTGCCGCTCCGGCTCGGGCAGGCAGCGGCGGCAGAAGGAGTGCAGGCAGGGCAGCAGCTTGGGCTCGGCCTCACGCCGGCTCTGCAGGCTCTGCGCGCACACGGCGCAAGTGTCCAGCAGTGAGAAAGGCCCCGGTGCTGCCGGCGTCAGCGGCGGCACCGGGCTGGGGCCTGGCCCCGGGGGGGCCCCAGGCCCCGCCGCCGCCTCGGCCTCCGCCTCCCCGGGAGCGCGCTCCACTGCGGCCGCGCCCGGGTTCTCCTGCTCCTCGGGCGGCGCGGGGATGGGCGCGGGCGGCGCGGCGACCGAGGGGGACGCGGCGGGGGGCTCCAGGCCCCCGCCCCCCCCCGGCCCGGCCTCCGCGGCCCCCTCCCCGCCGCCGCCGCCTCCTTTGTTTTCCGCCATGTTTCCTCCTTTGAACCCAACTCCCCGCTCCGCGCACGCACCGCTCCGCGCCTGCGCGCGCACGCACGCACAGCGTCAGCGCGCGCAGCGGAAGCGGGCACGCGCCGCGGGCTGCGCAGGCGCCGTGGGGGCTCCCCCGGCCGCGTCGGACGCGCGTGCTCGGCGTGAGGGGTAGGCCGTAACAGGGCAGTCGTGACGTAGCGCAGGCCGCGACGGCGCATGCGCCCGGGTGCCACCTGGGCGGCGAAGCGGGACACAGCCACGACGCCCCATTGGCTGGAGGGTGCAGAGAGCCAATCGCGAGTGGGGGCGGGCCCGAATAACGCCCCGCCTCCCCGACCGCAAAGTGGATCGCAATGACAGGTGGACACGCAGCGATAGCAAAATACGGTTTATTAGCAAAAACGCCACAGCATGATCTCCCCAAGCCACTGTTTTACCTCTATAAGGAGGAATGAAACACAGTCCACCTAACTGTGCCAATAAGGCACTTGATCAGGTACCTCTTCTCGATCCTAGGAGGAGGAAGGGTCACACTGACACTTACAAGCTACCTTCCCCTCACCTTACACACTGTAACTAGATGTTTAAAAACCCACAGCATCTTCAACCACTTAATTTTAAAACACGCAGCAGCGAAACAGTAAGGATGAGACCCTCAGAAGTCTTGCTGGATGTTCTCTTTGTTAGCTTCCCCGTGCTGTTGTTTGATTTGTGAAATTTCATTTTCTAGCTGCACAATAGTTCGTTCAATCTCGTAATTTTTACTCACAAGAGAGACCCATCTGTAAGGCAAAAAAACAAAGAAGCTTTTAAGTGTTAGTTAGGCTTTAACAATCCTCCTTTTTAAAATCAGAGGAACAATACAGTTACCAAGTTAAAGAAAGTGAAGATACCAAATAAAGCACAAAGCAGTAAATAATTCACTATTTTTTTCTCATTAGATCGTAAGTCTCAGTTGATAGCAATGCTCATTTGGATGATTAAAATAACAGTAAGTATTTTTTAGCTCTGTTTTACCTTAGGACATGACGTTATAAAGAAATCAAAAGGCTCAAAAACACTGACTTCCAATTATTTGGATAAATAAGAGTTTAAAGAGAGAAATAAAGACATGGATGATCTCAAGTGCCTAATATACCCTTCTTCTCACCTCTGTTGCTCACTGTTTAACTCAACCACAATCTTTTTAATAGTACTTTAAAGTACTTTGTATAGAGCAAGAGTATTCCTGCAAAACCATCTTAAGAGATAACCAAAAGACTACCGATCTTCTCCAACCAAGAATTTCACGCGTAAGATATACTTATAGGAGATATAAAAGAATAGTTTTAGATACTCACGTAGATTCCATTTCTCGTAGCTTAGCCCCAGCTGTAAGCTGCATGTTCTTTCGTTGCCAGTTCAGATCTTGAATGCTTTTCCTGGGGAAGAAAAGGTTATATATTATGCTTGTCTCCTTTTTTTTCTCCATTTTTTTTCTTCTAACGTAGCTGTTTGGCTTTAGAAGGAATTCACATTCCTACCAACTTCAGTAAAAAACTATGAAGAACAATACTGACCTCAACTTCTGAAGTTCTTTCTGGGCTTGTTCTATCATGTGAACTAGATGCCTAACATCAGAGAAGCGCAGTGTTAGGAATTATTTCAGGGACAGTACTTGGGTTAGCAAAGCAGCAGAACGCCTTACTCATTGTAAACCTTCCAGGCATTGCAGCCATGCTGGGACATGAGCTCCAGGTTCTCGATGCGGACAGCCTGGTGCTCCAGCTGAGCCATAGAGTTGTTGACACACTCCTGCCAGGCTGTGATGTCATTTTTCTGCCCAGAGGAGGGGGCGGGCAGCTCGTACCTGCAAGGACCCAAGCCATTCCAAACCATGGCTGCTGGGGTCCAGGCCTGGCAAAGAGGGGGACAGGGCCTGAGCCCAACTCACCTCTTCATGCTGAGTAGCTCCAGGGGCTGCCGGGCAGCCAGGCGCTCAAATTCGTTCCGCATAATCTCAGTCTAGGGGTACAGATGGAGGCAGCTGCAGGGCAGGACCGGGGCCGCGGCCCCCTGCTTGCTCGCGCACTCACCTCGAAGGCGCTGTAGTCGTGCGCCGGCAGGTAGCTGAGGTAATTCTTGGTCGGCCGGTAGCGCCGCGTCTCCTCCTCCACCAGCGCCGCGGCCTAGCGCACACGGGGCGTCAGGGCGCCAGGCTTCCCCAAGCCACGAGCCTCGCCCCAACCCCCGCTCACCGCCTCGCGGACTCCCGGCGCCTCATAGCCCTGGTCGAAGTAGGGCAACGCATCCACCACCACATCGCCAGCCACAAGCCCCGGGCCCGACATGGCTGACCCCGCGCTGCGCTTGCGCTTGCGCGCCCGCCACCCAGGAGCCCGCAGAGCGCCTGCGCCGCGCCCCGCCCCTCGCGCCGCGCCCCGCC